AACTGGCAGTGTGCTGCACCACACGAGAGCGATCGTTGTACTTGTTGTTTTTATTTTTTTCACAGTTTACTGCAATATGCCACTTATTAATTTCTCAATAAAAAATAGTGTAATCTGTAAACCACGCCTAATTTTATTTGTGGTTAAAAAAAGATGTGACTAATGTTAGTTTCTGGTTTTTTAGCCGCATGAAAAGAGGAAGGCTTTGTGCAATCATGTCGCTCTGCCGGCTTGAAGCACTGTTTCTTTGGTCTCTGTTTCTGCAGATGTGGGGTATCTCCTAAGGACTACTTGCGTCGCCATAAAAAAAAATAATTGCTGAGCCCGGGAGTGCGTGCATGTACCATACGCACGCAAACAAATTATCGAACGCTGCCTGAAAGATTCCTTAAAGTACACAATCGCTCAGAATGTTAATGAGTCTCACGCCTCATTGCGTACACAATTACCCTTCTTCATCATCATCAGGTCTTTATTCTCCCATTGCAGAGCCCTTAGTCAATAACACGAGGTCGCTGAAGCGCGTCCGCCGGCAATGGCGCGTCATCTGCAACGGACCGGACAGTTTCACAAGCCTCATCACCTCCCTCATCGATGCAAACCGGGAAGTGATTCGCCAATCCGAACCACTCACCGTGGGTGACAGCGAGAGACTAGGGCCCATCTGGCTGCGAAATGGTCGCGTCTACAACCTGCACACCGTCAAGGTCCGCGAGGTCTTGGAGGGTGAATGCAACGAGACGACCATGAACCTGGTCTTCAAACTCAACCTGGACAAACCGCGGGTCCAGTTCGACTGGTGGGGCCCGCTCAACGGCGCCGCTTCCGTGGGCGGACAGCTCTGGGTGACCATGGACGTCCTGGACCTGGACATTGGACTTGTCACTCCGAAGAAGAAGAAGAAATTGGGAGGGAGGACGGAAGTGTCGTTCCTTGAGGTCAAGAGGATCGTTAATCTCAAACTGGATTTTAGGGGCATGGGACCCGCCACGACGTTTGCCACTTTTGCCCTTGGGTTGACGCATGCGTTTGTGCCGTCGGTGCAGAACAAGCTTTTCGAAATTATTCTGTTTCGAACAGTTCGAAACTACGTGGCTAAGACGGCACTGCCGCTTTAGTTACTTCTGCAGTCCAAAATGGCAGTTCTTTAAAGTATCCTTTTTTTTTTAAGGAAAAATGATTGATGGCTGGGTAGACGTAGAGCTCAATTTTCATTGACAATTAGATCAACCTGTACCAGACCCGGGCAACCTGACTAACATTTATAAATTGAGGTATATTCGCATTTTTTTTTTATTCAGGCTTGTGTATGTGACGTGCACTCCACGAAACGCGAAGTATAATCAGGCGAAAATTAAGTCGTATTTATTTTTAACAACATAAAATCCCAAAACAGCAGGGAAGGACGACGGGGTTTCGATGAATGTCATCTGTAACATCTTTGAATCGCGCTTGATCCCAAACTATTTGCGACAAATCCTCGATTTTTTTTCTTTTTTCTTTTTTGCGTAGTCTATATACACTCTAGTCAGACAGCCTTTTAAATTATGTTAAAATTTGTTAGCCTCAAATATTGCTTTAAAATACAGCCAAATCTTGTTAATTCAAACTCTTTTAATTCGAACTTGCGGATAATTCAAACTAGCATGCAGGTCTCATCATATGTGTTTCTATAAGAGGAAGCTTCCGGTAAATAATTTAAACTTTGCTTTATTCAAACAAACTTTCGGTCCCCCTCGAGTTAGAATTAACGAGATTCTACTGTAATTCCGAAACAGGCCTCTGCAGACAATTCTGTCCTAAAATTCTGTTGTTGCTTTTTTTTTTTTTTTTTAGAGCTTTTGAAGTATTACATTTAAATTGATACCCTGCACAACACGCGTTTTTGCCTTCTAAACGATATACCTTTTACGTTGTTTCATGGTTTCTTTATAATTAGAAGTATAAGTTCTGAAGAATTAAAAGTACTTCGTACAAGTTCAACACGCCGTTAAAGAAATAAACATAATTTATTTTGTTAATAGACGTTTATCTACACAATAAAAACCTTACCCCATAAAAGCAGCCTGTAAATATTACATTGTGTTGCTGGCCGTTTGCTACGCCCCGTTCGAATGAAGGATGTTCGCAGTCCCTGGTTTGCTCTCTTCATACTCACGCGTGTATGCCTTATTGGGCTTTGAGGTTCGTGCGCTGGCTGGTCCAAGGGCTTTCTGCGCAGAGTCAGACTCAGAGCCCCTTGTAGAGTTCACAAGCTCAAGTGACACGAGTGTGGTCTAGGGTGCCTAAAGCCGGTGTCACACTGCTTATACATCATACAAATGACAGTCTGCATGCAGATTCGAAAGCGAGTCATCGCGAGATCCGTGCTTCGAATGCCTGACGGACATGAGTTCAGGGAGAAAACTTGGCAGGCGGTATTCGAACCACGTATATACGGTGACTCGTGTTAGCAGACATGTGTGAGCAGTCTCACCCCGGCTTTAGTGTGCACGCGTTTGTCTTAGAGTTGAGACATCAGGTCATGTCGCAAAACACAATGCGTCTCTCTCTCTTTTTTTTTTTTCTTGAAGCGTTTAGAGAAGTTTCTTGTCTCGAGCTTTGACCTGTGCTATGACACCATTTTGGTTCACACCTCATGCTTCTATTTTTCCTGTGATTGCGTGTTGTCGGTGTTCGGTAGTATACAGAGATTACACCACCACAGAAAGCGAACATTGACGTTCACTAAGCTGGCCATTGAGGCCCACAGTAGCGGCACCGTCCCACTGAGCACGCCTGGACTCCTGCCACGTATTTGTAGGCAAAAGTAGTTAATACCTTCTACGCTCTCATTTTTAACTCGAGATAGAAACAAACCAATTAACCAAACCGGTAGAATGCAACGCACTAACACTCGCGCAAAGGCTAATCATATTGGCAGCGTCGAGTTGAGCAGGTATCTCTGCAAGAGCCGAGACACGAGAGCCTCGAGAAGATCTATCACCAAATTCGGCGCCGCAAGGTTCAGTCCCGTGAACAGCGTCGCGAGCACACCGGAAAGCCCTGTCGTGACGCCAGGCTGGCCAAATCTCAGGCCCTGAGCCGCGAAGATCTTGACACCCGCCAGGCTGGCCTTGTCCCCGGTGTCTTTCAGCTTGGGCAATTCCAGGGAGATGTTGGCCGCCACGAACTCGAAAGACAGCATGAAAGGTCCTTTGGCCATCCGCCCTGGAAGCACCCACTCAAACTCGAGGAAGATGGACTTCACTGCGATAGGGAGCACCGCTCTAATCCATCGCTCGCTGTCGCAGTTGGCATCCACTTCGCCGAGAATGTAGAGGGTGTGGAGATTAGAGGCACGTCCTCGCTTCAGAGATATAAGTCCGAGGTTCTCGCTGTCGCCCAGGTCGATGGGTTCGGCTCTCTTGATGCCTTCCCTGTTCACCTCGATCACGGTCGTGAGCAGCTTGGTCGCGAAGACGTTGCCACTGCACAGGAAGCCAGTCTGTCGGCGGGGTCGAGGGTTTCCAGCCGCCATTGTTGAGCGAACAAGAGCTAAGGCCGCGATGCATAACACTGGAATCATCCTCACGTCTACAAGTTGATGGACATCGAGAAAATATTTAAACTAGAGGTTGAGAAAACATAGATTATACTTTGTTTTCTGTTAAAAATTTTGCGTTTGGTGGTGAACGTCGACCATTTGATGCCGACCGGCGCACACTGCTTCCGCAAAGAATTGACGGCATAATTATGCTTTTTTTCACATTTTTGTTTTAATGACCAGAGCTTTTTGTATGCAGGCCACAGCCTACGTACAAAAAAAAAAGTAGATTTTTTCTTTTGTATAGTAATGGAGTTTACTCAGCCTCCTTGTATTGGCTTTGTTTAATGGCTACTGCATAAAAAAAGATCTATGAAATATCATACCTGATGACTGAACATAAACAAGCGATATTGTTCCCAAGCGGAAACTGAGCTGCGTGCATTTGTTATGGACATTCTCATCGTAAGATTATTCCTGAAAGTACGTGTTCTGTTTTTTACATTATTAATAAAAAATGAAACCATAAATTTTTTAATTATTTTTTTTTTCATGTATTCATCGAAGCTTTAGTTACCTGCAGGTTAATCAAAAACTGTGATTTTCACTTCCCCATCGTCTCTGGCACAAAGCTTTTTCAGCTTATGAATCGAGCATGTATAATTCTACCGAAATTATTGAACAAATTATCCCCGATTGAGCACGACGAGTCGCAGTCGAGCGCCGACGCATCAGATGGTGTCTACTCTGTGCCCAGCGCTCCATCGACGGTAGATGGCGTAAAAAACTCAAGTGAACGTGTTTTGCGAGGCGGCGTTAAAGTAGCACTCCTAGTTCCACTAAATAAGCTACGCTTCAGAGTAACGACACTTGGCCAAATTGTGTCATCAAATCATGGCTGCCAGCTATCTGAAATCACAGGATACGCTTTTCCGTCCTCCACAAATGTTTGAGCAGTTCGCGACAGAGTAAAGCAATAATACATGACCTTCCTAACAGCGAGTCTAATACTGAGGAAGTCGCACTTTTGTATCATGACGATCGGCAGTTGCGTCTGTTCTGCATACGAGCTAACATGGCGGCACCCACAACAACGTCGGGGAACCTAGTGCCGATACTCTCAGAGCAGCTCATTTAGAGGCTCTAAAAGACATGCAGAAACGGTGCCAGAAATGTCTGCGGACACGTCCCAAGCGTATGTCTGGAAGCGCGTTTGCTTCATGCATGTATTTGTCTGCTTCGAACATGTCTAAAGACGGTTGTTTTGCATAGGCCAGTGCGACTGTCCTACGAGGAAGAAGCACGCCCAAGACTGTCCGCAGACTGTTTTTGGCATAATATATGACTGTGTGATCGCGGCTTTGAGAGGGTTTCCGAAGTAAAGTCTCACAAACGATGGTTGGCGCGCCTGCCATATAAATTCGCTCGAAAATATGCTAAACTTTAAAGTACAGTGACCCTTTCTACTGTTTACATGATTACGGTAAGTTCTTATCTGCCTTCTTTTTTTTTTTATACGATAAGTCACAGTCGACACAATACGCGAAAGGGCGTTGAGAGTAAACTGTGCGCGCAATTATATATATATATATATATTCTGTATACACTTCTTTTTTTTTTTACAGTGCATTTGCGATACGCGTGGAAACAGCTCGATTCTGAGATTGCCACTGTATACGGGGTAAGCGCGCTCCGCGACTGATGGGATCTGTAAACAGTGAGCCAAATCAGCTCACATAAAGATACGTTGTCGACGCGTGTGATCCATCCAGCCTGCGATCTATATCAGCTGCTCCTCTACCCTCCTGTGCGCTTTTCCTTGTCTCACCCTCAAGCTGCAACTGCGGCGTTGTTGCTACCCCGTTGGAGTGCGGGTGAGCTGGCACGCGGTTTCAGGTGCGTCATGGAGAAGGATTTAGAGTGCTGCGAAATTCGGCGCGCCCGACCGGATGAACTCGATCGAGTTGCTGCTTTGCGTGCCTTGTACGGGCAGCAGTTGGGCGTAGGAACCATGGACACGTTCTGGAATTTGGACCCCGAAGGCATCTTTGTGGCTGTCACGGACGACGGTGAGCTGTGCTGTTCGTGTCCTGTGTTTCTGAGCTTAATTATTTCGCGAGCTCTAACTTTTGTTACCATAGCGCTGGGCCTAAAAAGAAACACTCTCATTCTCGTATAGTTACAGTCAGAGTTATATAATGTAACATATTCCAGTTTGGTGCAGTAAAGTTGACATTTGGGCTAGTCGGTAGTCTAGCATATTGAGGTATTTAGCGCACAAGGTAGAAAGAAGAAAAAAGAGCGCTCTTTTCTGTCTTGTCCTTCTTCTTTCTACCTTGTGCGCTAAATACCTCAATATCCAGTTTGGTTTTAGCTGCTGGAAGTCCCTAGTATCTTAAGCCCATCTTAGGCGGACAATATTTGACGTGATAACTTAGGTGTCGTTCCAAAATACAACTTAATCAATATACCTTTACGTTTTCTCGTATGCTGGTCATTAGCGTGAAAAAGTGTCAGCCTTGTTCCCAGTGTCGGACTGTAAATCGCATTCGCCTCGTTTTTTTCTCTTCTTCTCACGTGATGCTAAAATAAACAGAAAGTGAACTCTCGACAGTACGAATGGTCCGTGATGGGGGATTAATAGTCTAAAGACTGGTCTGTGGATCTATGCCTGCAATAAGGCGCTACTATAGCCATATGATCACGTTCTTGCAGTGTTGGAAAGTACTTTAAGTATACATTGGACTTAAAGTACTACTTCAAGTAGGTTTAGAAAACCTCTACTTTACATGAAGTACAGGGTGTCACAAAAGAAAATTTACACTGTCTTTTTTACCGCAAAAATAAACTAGGCATCGCCGAACGCTCATTCTCCGCCCAAAGGTAGAGCTAGAGGTCACAACCAGATGCCAAAGTTTCAGCCCGATCCGATAACTCAATCAAAAGTTATAAGTGATTTTCTGAAAAGTTCAATGGGAAAATGGAGTTTTTTGCCCGTTTTCGGTTTCTGGTGCCATAGAGCGCCATGTGTTTGAAAACTCCGTCGGCCGCCATCTTCCCATTGAAATTTTCAGAAAATCACTTATAACTTTTGATTAAGTTATCGGATCGGGCTGAAACTTTGGCATCTAGTTGTGACCTCTAGCTCTACCTTTGGGCGGAGAATGAGCGTTCGGCGATGCCTAGTTTATTTTTGCGATAAAAAAGACCGTGTAAATTTTCTTTTGTGACACCCTGTACATTCACTGAGTATGTACTTGTAATTATTTTTTTTTCCTGGTACTTTTCGAGGAAAGTGCAACTCCCGACTTCAAAGTACATTCTCTAAATTTGGTTTTGTTAAATTTATATCACAAAATTAGGCTTTATCAGCTCTGAAGAAATACTGGGAGGGATATTCTACTCTCACCAGAAAAGCGAGCAGACGACGCACATTGCTTCGTTTTTTTTTTTTTCGGGGGGCGGCTTTTTCGTAGATTTTCGAACTCTCGCTACTTCTCGATCGGCCAGAATTAACGAGGAGCGTGAAAATGTTAGGGGAGCAAAATTAACCGTAACGTAGCACCTGAGACTGTGGTGCGGAGAAATCAAAGTTTCAAGTCGAAGAAAAAGACAACAGATGAGAACGTCACAATGTTTTGAGATGTTCTACTCTGTGGTCTTTTCGTTCAACTTGAAAGTTCCTTAATTTTTTTTTTTTTTTTCGCACCACAATTTCAAATGTTACATGATTAATTACCACCAGCTCGCCTGCACATTTACTGTTTTTTTTTTCTTTAAGTAAAGGACACTCATCTAGGAAAGAGGCAGGCACGTAGCCAGGATTTTGATTCGGGGGGCGCCCATGACAAAACGCTGTATGAGGAAGAGGGCGGAGAGCAGGTCCAACACCTCCTAGAAACTAAGGCCGTAGCGCTCTTCTCGTGACGTAGCAAAGGAAGGCCATCGGGGGCGCGTGTCGAAGCGAAGGCAACGCGCGTGGATCGATCGTCGTATCGCGCTTTTAGTCGCATACGCGTATCTTATTAACTAAAATGAAAGCTGCACATAGAAAAGGGTCTACAAAACATTCTATTACACGGGCAAAACATTACACCGCTAAATAATCAGTACGAGATGGCACCAGGTATGCGTAAAGACGTCTATAGAAAAATGTGATTGTTTTAAGTCGAAAGCATATTCACGTAATTATTGAAGCGTGAGCTACACTGGCCGAGGTTGAGCAATTTCGCGTGGCTCGCCTAATGAGCCGTGCTCCGTGCTGCGCAAACGCGAGGAGCAGTGACGTCACACGGCGCACAGCTGGCGTGGCGGAGTCCCCGTCGCCGCAGGCTCCACCACCACCGCGCGTGCCTCACCGGTCTGAGCAAGCGCGAGGAGCAGTGACGTCACACGGCGCACAGCTGGCGTGCCGGAGCCGCCGCCACCGCGCGCGCCTCGCCGGTCTTTGCATTCCAGAGGAATGACGTCATAGCCGCGGTAGACGCACTGGCGCCGCCGTGTGCCCAGCTGTGTGCCTCCGTTGCGCAGTAGCCAAGTCTGACGCTGCACCGGAGCTGCTTGATAGCACCTCTCATTTTGTGCGCATAAGCTCACGCTACGTATATCCTGGCATTGCCGAGCTAAGCCACCGCAATTTTTTTTTTTTTGTATGAATGCATATTTTATGCAGAAATACTTCGACAAACTGGCGAGACACGCAGTGATTGGACACAGCAATACAGATCACAGTTAAAAATCTGGTAGACGTAGTCAATGCGGACACGGCTAGACAAGCGTAACTTACGATCATGTAAGCGATGTTATCGCGTGCAGTCACTGAATGCTTGCATTATACCCCGGCCACACAGCAAAATTAATTGTAGTTTCGATCGAATGACACTATGGGGTCGACAAATCAGCTTGCGACGCTCGTATAACTCAAGACCGCGAGCTGATGAAATGCCCTATCATTTAATGAAAATATATCAACTTTTTCGTGTGGCAGGGGGGTACTAAACTTACTATTTAGAGTAAAATAATTTACTTCTCTCTATGGGCTCAAGCTGTGTTAGAACAAAATATACCTTATTTTGTATACAATAATAATATTACCTTAATACAGTTAAGATTCTAGTATAAACGCGGTAAAGACAATAAAATAACATTGGTATAAATAAACACGTAAGCACAAACAACGCACTTTCAATGATCACAGAAAATTGTTATTCACCTTACAGTAAAAACTAGAATATTACCACGCATATGTACAAATGTCGACGCAACAGCACGCGGATAACAACGAAGAACAAAATTCCATTCTATCACGAGATTTAAGAAAGAAATCTACTGCAGCACTTTGCTCGAGACCTACTTGACCAAGAAAGTCCGTAAATAAGTTGTTTCTCACCTGTCGATCGTATCCATACGTCCCACAATATCCGCGACGAAGACATTTGAACACGAACTCCAAGAAGTGTCTCTGTCGAGAGAGAGGTCTATCGATAATCGGCCAGTGTCATCGCCGACAGTTGCCACACATGTCACCCAAACCGTAGCAGGACTTGTCCCGCGACTCCACGTAAATTCCACAGTATCAAGCGAAAAAAAAAAAATCTATCCGAGACTGCGGTGATGACAGAAAAACAACGGGAAGAAGGAAACAAGTCGCAAAAGAACCACACACGAGAGCAGCGGTGACGATTAACGTTGTCGACTCATCTCTGCTCGTGTGCGCTCCCTGCGGCGATGGCTGGATTTTTTGTCGGTTCTCTTCCCTTCTGAGATGTCTCAGCGTTCCTTTTCAGACAGTCAGCAGCTCACATAAAACGTAAATTTACCAGAATCGGAGCCCGTATGAGGGAGGATATCGGATCGCAGCCGGTTCATTCGAAAAGTGTGGGGAGCTGCGGGACTGCGCGTAGTCCCGCGGTTACGGGGATAATCGTAAATATAAATTTAGTAATTTCAGCCTATAGTAACGCGTTGTATATTACGTTTTATATATATATATATATATATATATATATATATATATAATTTGTACAGGTCTGCGCTTTTAAAACGTAAATTAATGTCGTATAAACTTGCACGAACACCACCGCGCCGCGCGACAGGAAACATTTTTTTTACTCCGATACCGGATATTTTGTCACGTAGTTGCGCTATGGCCTTCCTTGTCCGACATTGTGACGTAACCACTGGGAGCTCTACGGCCTTATTTCTTGGAGGTGTTGGCCGAACCTGCTAAATTTCCCGAATGTGTGGACAGGGCGCTGCGGTCGAACAAAAGGGCGCCGCCCTGAGAGTGCTAAATGGAATGTTCTATACTGTAAATAATTGCAGGTGGGCAAAAAGAGGTCGCGACCGTAAAAAGAGAGAGACGCGAACCTCCGATTTTCGCGCCCTGCCAAGGCAGCTGCAACTCTCATATAGCCTCATATTGAAACACATCTCGCGACGGCGAAGGGTGTTTCCAAAGTTGGCCACTGCAGTGGCGTGGCGCTCACATCGGAGATTCTTGATAGAGAGCCTGTATTACAGAAAATTTCCAACTGTTTGTTTGGGGTCACGTGGTTTATTAGCGCGTTTGCAGGATGCCGACGCGAACCTCCGATTTTCGCACCATCTCCTAGCCTCATAATGAAACACATCTCGCGACTGCGAAGGGTGTTTCCAAGGTTGGCCACTGCAGTGGCGTGGCGCTCACATCAGAGGTTCTTGATAGAGAGCCTGCATAGAAAGCCGACAGTTTTGATCGTCTGCAAACGTCTCCGCTTTTCCACCTGCTTTCCCCCTCGCCACGCAAGAACGCAGCGCATGCGCACCTGTGACCAGTCTCCGCGGGAGGGGTCCGCCATTAAATAGTAAACGCTCCCCATGATTTGAGATAGACCGTCTCTTCAATATATGCTCTCTGGTTCCCTTACCTCGTAGCGTCGGCTGCGTCCGCCCCCCCCCCCCCCCCCTCCCTTTTCCATTTACTTTCTCTCGCTACCTTACAGCGGCCAAACTACCTATTGTTCTCGCGGCTATCTACAGAGGGTATCTGCGATACCAATAAAAAGAGGAAAAGCAAACTCGCGTGCGACGTGCCCAATCTCGGCGCGCGCGAGCAAACCCACAACGCTCATCCGTATGGTATCGGCGTGGAGCAGTGTTCGTAACCTGCGCTCAAGTGTGACTGTTCACCGCGGACAGGACTTTAGCCAGGGCGTGATATCAGATAAAGATAGTGGTGCACAGAATACGACTTCTATTGGTGAGAAGGACAAAGCCATGGCATTGTAATATATTTGTGTCTATGTATGTGTGTGTGTATGTTTGCTTGTCTGTGCGTGCGTGTGCACGTGTTATTTCATAAAACAGTCAACAAAACAATGTGGGCCCGATGTCCTCTTGGGTTTAAATTATTAGGCGATTCGAGAGAAGTCCTAGGATTGGAGAGCTTTATAAGTTAGGCTCTAAAAATGAAGGACGTTTACAAATCTCTGTAATGCGAAACTAGAGCGCAGCTCTTGAGGAGGAGGAGGGGAAGGTACGGAGTGGAGGGTATGACCTCCTCCTCCTCCCTCCCCTCCCCTCCTCCTGCCGCTGAATTTGTTCATCGGTCACGTGACACGATGTCGTGACGTCATTTTCCCCACTAAATTTAGCTGAGAAACTGAAGTGATATCGAGGTCACATGACGTTAGTTTCCCCGCTAAACTTAGCGGAAAAATTTCCTCGTTAACTTGTGGTCGGTTTGCCTTGCTGCATACCCGACCCGAAGGAATAACACGGAGCCGACGGTTTCAACAACAAGAAACTACATTTAATTGGACAGGACAAGACGATTAACATTGCTACTGGCGCTGCCGGAGTTCAGGCAGCGACTCCCCGTGCGCCACGTCTGATGCGCCTTATCAAGGCGGCGCACGCGATGTGCGCGTGGCTGGCGTGACGTCGCCGCCACGCGGGAAAAGTTCGGCACTCCTGTCTTGCAGTCGGGCAACTGGGCTGGGGAGCCGCCAGGGTGCCCACAAACTTTAGCGGGGAAACGTCCCACAATGCAACGCGCGCAGTTACGCCGACGCCGACGCCGCTCAACCCGGAAACAGGTGCCTAAGAGCTGCGCTCTAAAAAGAATGGTGGACAAAGCCATCTTAGGTTATGAGCACACTCATCTTGAGACCGACAAAGCGATCTTCGTATTACCGACTAAAGTCGCACGGTATAGCATAAAGTTCGCGCTCTTTTTTTAGAACGCAGCTCTTAGGCGCCCGTTTCCGGGTTGAGCGACGTCGGGATACAAATGTATCGCGATAGTATTTCAGAAACACATCTCGTATCTGTATTTCTGTATCGCGATACATTTTTTTCACCAGTATCTGTATTCGTGTATCGAAATACATTTGGAATGTTTCTTTGTATCGCGATACAATCAGGATGTAATGTATTTCGTTACATTTCTTGAGAAATACTCCCCCCCCCCCCCCCCCCCGAAAAAAAAAAAACAAACAGGTACAAACGTTTTTTTTTTTTTTTTGTTACTTTTGAGGGCACCAGAGTCGAGGAGATGCTGGGGCAGTGTTACTATGCTGACCAAGGTTCCTTTTGATTCTGCAAACTATTTTCCTATGCGACCTCTTCTCTCTTCTGAGAAGTGTTGCGTAGGTGGCGAGCCAGGAGTGGAGTCAGAGCATCTTCTGCCGCAGGTCCTTAGGTAGGGATTTCTTGAGTCATTGTTCGCTGGCATCCAATGCCCACTGCTAACCGTCTCTCTCGCCTTAGCGTTCAGAGAACACCCAGCCGGCAAAGCTGAGTCACATTCCGTTGCAGCACGAGCCTGGCGGTGGTTCACTTGAAATAGTAGGAAGACTCACGCTGTGAAGTTCAACACATATTCGAATGCATCTGCGGCTGCGCCCGTAACATTGTACGGCTCAAGGGTACGTCATCAGCCGACGTGAACGTGACCCCCTGCTCTGGTGATCCGAAACCCAGAAGGAGGCTAGAAGTGGCCTCGCTGTGCCATCCCATACTACGTACTCCCGCGACTCGTCTCGAGACCGCTGTTTCTCGGACAGCTCGCACCTGTGCCGGTAATATCAGCTCGCAATCCACGAGGTCTCTGTTTGGATAATGCTAGGCAAAAATTTAGGACTGCAATGCGTGCGTCGGTGGCAGAGGGTCGGTAGTAAGGACCTTCAGAACAGGGGTGCTACCGTATCGTTTATTCAACCGTAACAGAAGATAAGACATGTATTCCAAGATGCTTCAGGTGGTCCACTATTCTCAAAAATTCCAAATGATACTGCATGCATGATCTTCAACTAGGTAACCTACAACGGACGTACGTATTGTCCTTTCATACAGCAGCGTGGTAAATTTTCATGTTCAAGGCCACACCTACAGATAAAGAATACTAGTTCATTCCACCGTGACATCATGTGATCAATGCTGACAGGATTCCCTCGTCAGACAGACAGGATGTCATGGAAGGGACCGTGGTCAGCCCTTGATGGGACGTTTTTTTGGGCCCATGGAAGACTTCTTGTCGTCCGAAACCACTACCTTCAAGGCAAAGTGCCAAGCCTACAGGAAAGTAATTTCGGGATCGAAAACATCAACTTCAAACTTCAAGCTTCATCTCAGTTGGCTTCTCAAAAAAATTTTGAAAATGTATTGCACTATCAGTATTTCTGTATTTGTATTTCTGCCCTCCCTAAGATGTGTTCCTGTATTTGTATTTCCAAATACTTTTGGCCTCTTTTTAAGATATATTTCCGATACGTATCGCGATACATTTTTACAGATGTATCTTAGTATCAGTATTTTATCTACTATATTAATGTATCCCAGTATTTGTATTTCCAAATACATTTTTGAGTATTTCTGCCCAACCCTGGTCGCTGTCGGCGTCGGCGTCGGCGTAACCGCGCGTTGCATTATGGGTCGTTTCCCCGCCAAAGTTAGCGGGGAATATTTTCCGCTAAATTTAGAGGGAAATTTGGCGAAAATTTCCCGCTAAATGGGATGGGAGCAGGAGAGGATGAGGGGAGCTTACGGAGGGGTTGGAGGGGCATACCCTCCCCTCCGTACCCTCCCTTCCTCTTCAAGAGCTGCGCTCTAATTCGGCATTGTATACAGGGAATTGTAAACGCCTTTCATTGTTTTTCCTCGTATGACAGAGATAAGGCGGTGGGTACCACAGACGAAAGTTTCAATGTCATCTGTGGCATATCCATGAGAATATAAGGATATCACATTTCCCACTTTCGTTTCTAATTGCAGGAAAAGTGTTAGGAAGCGTCGCCGTCCTGAGAATGAGCGACAGCATCTCCTACGTCACGATGCACGCCGTGTACCCCGAACTACGAAAGAAGGGCCTGGGAAAGCGCCTCTGGCAAGCCGTAGAAGCCCACCTCGGTCCGGACCGCAACGCGTTTCTCATCTGCGGCGGATTCGATGTGTGCATGTACCACAACAGGTTCGGTTTCGACTACGTTTCTCCCGTTTCGATCCACTACATCCGACCGGGACCCGCCGACATTTCGACATTGAGGACCGAAGTACCAGGCGTCGACATCGTGGACTCGGCTACGTCAACCCTGACATCCAAGGTCATCGACTATGATCAAGTGGTGTCTGGGTTCAGACGGGAGAGGCTGCTGGACCTCATCCTGAAGGAACCCGGGAACGTCTTCAAGGTCGCAGTGCACGGACACTCTGTGGTAGGGTACGGCATCGTGAGTACGGATATCAGTGGGATGGCCCTCCTGAGGATAGTGTACGCGGACGACGTGGGTATTGCGGAGTGTCTTGTGCACTCTCTCCTCAATGGGTTCGCGCCCTTTGTGGAGAAGGGGTTGACTGGCCTGCTTTTGGCGGAAGCTGGGGACGCGACCGGGCTGGACATCAAGATGTCTATCGAGGGCATCCCTTGCGTGAAGATTCTGTACCGCCGAGAACAGCCTACCTGTGACTATAAGAGACAGTTTGTGGTTTGCGTGTGAAGCATGACGAGGCACGTGCGCAGATATTCCTTTATAGTACATCAACTCAACTCTCTGACCTCACAACACTGCTGTGGCGTTTCTGTCGGCACAGAGCATGTGCAGACGCGTTATCTTACGCAAATTTGGTTTTTGCGCACGCGCAGTGCCCGCATTAGGTGTGGGCACTCGCTGGCTTGTGTGTAAACGGCGCGCTGGTGTATAAATGAGATGCCTCCCGTATCGTTATTTTACAGTGGCGAGCTACATGTTGGCCACAGTCGCGTGACCACGGTAGAAACACTGCGACCACGCATTAGCAGTTTGAGTACTCTTGTAGCAAACTATACAGAAAATGTCCAGTAGGTATCAAGGAAGGATTCAGCCATTATGTTATATACGGTATATATATATATATATACCAACGAAAGAGGAGCCAGTACTCGCGCCTGTAACAGCGTCGCTCTGGCAAGGGTACCATCTCCAGAGAAAAGGAAACAGCCAGGAGGGATGCGGGCTTTCAGTGAGGGACGAGTCGCTAACCGTCCAGGGAATGCACAAACCGGAGTTGGCCAAAAGAGATAGAGAGGTCATTCAATAGTCGTACAAATTATATGATATGAATTTAGGACGACTGGCTTGAACATGGCTTTTCGCTTTGACTGCGGTGGCTCTCTTCATAAACGCTCGTTCAAACCCAATTTTGCCAAAGTAAAGTAGAATAAAATTCGCTCTGTTAGTAGTTTTTTTTTTTTTTTTTTTTTTTTGCGTTTCTTGAGATAAAATAAAAGAGCTTTGGGAGTCGCCATTGAAACTTTTGTGGAGCTGGTGAGATCCCCTCTTCACGTTTCAAGACATAAACAAGACCAGCCGCAATGATCACATGCAGTTGTGATTAGTTAATAAACTGTGTAAATTCTATATACCAGTTGTTTTCTGTTTTGTTAGAGGTTTCTGAACAATATTTCCAACAGGGAGTAGTGCTGCGCACTTTCCATCATGCAAGGAAATACGCGGCCGCGTTGACTCCGGCCATCTGACGCAGTGTTATTTAATTTTAATTATTATTTCGCATATGTCTAACTTATAGTATCATATAAGCTAGTTTCCTTTTTTTTTCTGACGTCTCATAACGTTAACGGCTAGCATCTCATAAACCTGGCGAGAGAATATACTAATCTGGGGGGAGAGTTCGTGTGCACCGCTTATACAAGTGATTTTTATCTTACTTGTAAGAAAAGTGTAAAATGTTTTTCTATGAAGCATTTTGAACAAAATACAAAAGAAAGACATCAAGAAAAAAAAAACACGAACTTGAGCCAGTTTCTAAGTCTTTCAAGAATATCAGATAAAAAAAAAATTTCGCCACACTCCAATTTTATATAAAAAGAGTCCCATGCTCCTAAGACACCTGTAATATATTCCTGCAGTTTTTATTGTTCATAAACATGTTACGTATTTTATTTATATTTTCACCATACCGATAGGTAGAATGGATCCCAAATGTCAGCATCTAGGAGGTTCGCCTAAGTTACTCGTGAGTCAATAAACCTCAATCAATCAATGTCTGCGCTTGAGGAAAGAATGAACCAGACCCATTTCCAATTGTTATTTTTTTTTTTGTGCTGTATTCGCGGCGCGGCTTGACTTAATGGACTGCTAAACTTTAATTCTGAGAACCGCCTGTGCACACACACATTAATGCCTTTGGGATCTTGATCAAGTGAGCGGAATCGATATGCAATTCTGATGGCCTTCATAAGCACAGACGTACTTCCAGTTTAGCGGCGCGGGCAAGTGAGGTTTTTTTATAGTCGTTTTTACTAAATATTGACTATCAGGATTCAGGCTTATAGAGGCTGAACTGGTGGCATGTCCGGAGCTTACGATCGTTAAGGTGACAATAGTCTATTTCGAACGCAGTATTGAGCCTTCTTTCCGGCCCGTAAGTATACTATTTCAGAAATTTTGAACATTTTCTTTTTAAAGACGCCAGCTCGTGATTCTTGCAAATATACGTTTAGCGATCAACATAATTTCAACTCAAGAAAAAAAAAATCTGGATGCGAAGAAAGCGTAACTTCGTAATGAAAAGCAGAGCGCGATAAATTTTTGAACATACCATCGCACTCCATATGAGCTGAAAGAGTCTTCTTTGGCGAATACCTGCCGGTATTTGAAAGAGCTCTGGTTCGAACTATAGGAGCGAAGGTGAGGTAACAGAGCAGACCCTTTTAGAAATTCAGTCTGGCAACTTTGATTGCTATGATGATTTCAGTGTATGGCATATGTGCCAAACTAATAGCGGCTTTCTTGAGGCCCACGAAGGCGATGAGGCCTGTACCTTCCAGCCTTCAGTACCACACAACGCACGAATTAGATACAACGGCTGCATATGCGTTTCTTTCGGAGTATGGTCCAATCAATTCCTTGGCACAAGTTTGGCTCCAAACCCTTTTAATTGTGGAAATTTAATCGAGGGGCTCATGGATCGCCCGCCTTGTACTGGTCAGTTCTTACGTTCAAACTATCGAAACTGAAACGAATGAGCTAGGAAAGGATTATGAAATCGAAGAACCAATTCTTATCTGCCATAAACGTGCGAAAGTGACGGTGCCGGATGAAATACAGTTTCCTGAGCGCCAATGAACGTGAAACTGGTTTCTGAGCCATGGACCAGATGGCCCTGCATTTTGGAAAGGGTACATATAGAGAAATAATAGAGCTTGTGGGGACCGCCGACGCAGAAGAAATGCCAGATCGGGTGTTTCAGGTCATTTTGATGTACGTGTGCAAGATAACCTGGACGCATGATTTTCCAAAATGTTGTCATTTACACGTAGAACCTCTCCTCGACTTGTCAACAGGTTGGAAGCGTTTTGTACCGATGAAAGTTCTCTGCACGCTTCAACCGTTGATTCCTGCACTACTCTTCGTTGCTACCGCCACTCGAAGTTTGACGGTTGGGCAGTCCACGCAAGTCCTCGATGAAAACACAGAGCGGACCGGACGCGTGCGACGGCAAAGCAGGCTGCTGTGCCTGGGCAACGAGCTGGTGACGTCGCTGGTAAACGAGCTCCTCAAAGCGAACCGCGAACGCATCAAAGCCAGCGAACCGATCTACATCGGCGGAACACAAAACCTCGGACTACTGAAACTCAAGAACGGCAGGGCTGTCAATGTGAGTACGTAATTAAACACATATCACTGCGCTACCGTGACGTAGCCATGACATCTTTTTCGAGGGGGCGTTTTTGTTTGCTGAGGGTATAACAAGGAGAGGAGAACCACGCTTACAAAAAAGAACATATATCTGACTGCTGAATCTGGATCTGTTTTACATGTGACTCGCACATATACGCATAGAAGAAAATAGGAACGCCATTTTTCATGCATGCAAAAAGGTACACTGTTGCACCGGGGAGTACAGAGCGGACAACGGCGTGAGTTCACTACTTAGGTTTTATTTAACTACTCTCCTAATGAGTATGAAAAACGTCCTTGAGGTCAACAGGCTAATCCATGTGCGGTTGGGATGTTTGAAACAACGGCTCCGATCATGGGACAACTTGATCAAACAAATATAGAATGCGTAGACAAACAAAACAAAACAAAAAAAAAAACGCTTTCACTATAGCTTTAGCATTAAAAGGGGGGGGGGGGGGGGGGGGGGCCACTGACCATTGAATCTCCCCACCTCCCTTGCCTCGCCCCCCCTCCCTGGCTACGCTCTGCGTTCATCCAGCGCCATCAAAGTTATGCGGTCGCTGCACAAATCTCTTCCCAGCACGTCACTCTATCAACCTTGCCCACATACGAACCCCATATTCCAGTGGTGGCGTCACACAGCCTCGCCGCACTGCATGCAGCAAATAAAAGTGTGTACGGGACGGGGGGGGAGGGGGGTGGGGGGGGGGGGGGGGGGGGGGGCGTCCATACAGCATGCATTCGAAGATTGGTTGCCACAATAGTGCGACGCAGTTAGCACAAGCAAGCGATCGCCGTTTCTGCTGGTTCATTTGCTTTTAGAATCGAAAGCCTATAACAAAAATTACTATAGCGGGGTGGAAAGGGCTCACCTGTGGCACCAATCCACACGGTAAATTTAGGTGCTCGTCAAAACCCTCTTCGAATAAAAAAAAAAAAAAAATGTCAATGTCATGTGTGCGTTAAGAGTGTCGCGCGGTGTACGTCGCCTTCATTTCGTAAAATTGTGGGTGGCGATTTTGTGCTTCTATCATCGCCATTAGAGAAACATTCTGGAGCTTATGTAGTGACCATACGTGACCATACGCGCCAACTACGAGGAGCTCGGAAGCCTCCCCCCCCCCCCCCCCTCCCCGAAATTATTTAAAGAGAGGGGGGAGGGGGGAGGGGGGGGGGGGGGGGGGCTCTCCCGAGCGCTTCGGAAAAACAAGTACCATCGTCTTCGGAACCTCTGGGTGCACCTTATTAATGTCATCTGTGCGCCCTGGTGCCCGCACATATCGATAGCTGGTGCCCAGTGGATAAATAAAAATTGATCCACTCACCAGTTCTAGTCACTAAGCGACCAGAGCTGGTGAGTGGATAAATGTTTATGACTATTCGCGCAGTCTTGTTTGAAAACTGTACGTATACTATCAGCGAAGACGATAAAGGAATGCAGGAAATTCTTTCGAAAGCCATTGGAAGTAATTGCGAATGGCGACAGTGGCACCTCTAGCGGACCTGCAGCCTACGGAAGTAGACGACATAATACGTTTTCTGAGCTCCATTATGTTTTCCGAAACGTTGAAACAATTCATTACGATCAGTGCGCATGAACCGCGGAATTCACTGATCACAACTACAATGACAGCTATAGTAAGGTCACAAAAGCAAACATTTGTTTAGGTATCATGCCGTCAGCATGCTTATCCTACGTCATCCAGGTGATTACACACGTTTGGGACGTCTCTTTCCGGAGACGTCCCAAATGTTTTCCGTTCCGGGGCAGGAGGGGCCCGGGAAACACGTCATGGCGCTTGTCCTTTTTATATTTTTTTCTTGTTTTGCATGATTGTAATATTTTGGATGGCTCGAGAATCTTGTTGTTTCTTCGAGCTCGGAAACTTCTGGATACCCACGCGCTTACAAAAGGAGCTTCTCATGGCTGTTTGAGGCAGTCCTCCTTCCGTCGCCATCAAAGACGGTATTCGTTACGTTATGTTTCTCGGCAAAATTTCGCTGCACTAAACATTCATTTCAAGTTTTATGAATCAAGCTTATGTTTTTATTCGTGACAATATATATATGTATATATATTGTTACGAAGATGTGCGGCCGGCAGCAAATGACAATGACGCGTCCACTGAATGAGATAGAAAAGATTTTAGGGAAGCCGGACCGTGCGCGCGGAGTTCGGCGCGTGACGGTCAGGCACACCACTGCCCCAGCGTCGTCGCCTTCTTCGTCACATTTCCCCTACCTTTAAAGAGGACGACCCGGCTTATGAATGAAGTAACCACGAGGGTGAACTGAAAACACACACACACACATAGACAGAAAACAAGGCAGGAGACATATGAATGGGCGAATGACTGCTACCAGCCGCGTAGAATGAAAATGTTCTAGAACCTTCAGCCTCTCTCAACGGCATTGCCAATTAAGCTACAACCCTGTTTCGATTACGTGCAAGAAGTGCTAGGACATCCGCGTGGTTATCAAGATTGGAGCCACGCAGTCTCCGCTTTGCTCAACATGTGCCGTCCACTGCGACCAAAACCACCTGCTTCTGGAGTGCCCAAACTTTCAATCACAAAGAGATACGCTTTTCCAGCGTCACCGGGCGATCGGCGTGGCACGTGACTGCAGATGACCTGACTTTTCCTATCGGTTCACGATCCCACCGTGAAAAGACGCAGCGCTTTCTACTCGACTTCTTAAAATCGACAACTCTGCTCACACGTTTGTGACCATATCTCCTTAACCGAAGATGCTCCCGATGTAATTGCGTACTTTGGAGCGCACATAAGTGTTGCTTTAAGACAATATGTGTGAATGTGAAAAGGTATGAGTGAGGTTATATGTGAGCAACAAAGCCAACACATCAATGTTAGGCTAACCGCTTACTATTAAAACGTCATTCTCTCTCTCTCTCTCTGTGCCAGCCACAGCCCCACGACGTCACGATCCAGGCTGGGGAATTCATTCGACCGCTATCAACACAGACGGGGCTGCAGGGACAGGGGCCATAAACTCGCGCCTGTATCTCGATTTCGTCCATAGTTCATCTTGTTCACGGCGCTCTTCCTAAAAATCCTCGTAGCTCACAGTCGTTGAACCTCTCTCTCACCGTCACTTCGGCATTTCAGGGAGCTCGCGGGGGAGGGGGGGAGAGGTTGCTGTTCGGCGGGGCTATGGTCTGGAGCTCAATCGGCTGCGGCGGAGGACTGCCGCAACCTATGTCCGGAGCGATGATGACGAAGAACGAAAGATGATGTACCCCGCACCTCCACCAAATGTTACGAAGATGTGCGGCCGGTAGCAAATGACCATGACGCGTCCACTCAATGAGATGGAAAGGATTTTGTGGAAGCCGGGCTCCTGCGCGCGGAGCTTGGCGCGTGATGGTCAGGCACGCCACTGCCCCAGCGTCGTCGCCTTCTTGGTCACAGTATATATATGTCGTTAGCAACATTACTGCTCAGTTTCGCAGCTCCCTATCCTCGCCTGCAGAGGCGAGTGGCCCAGGTGGTGGTCACAAGAACTAGCAGCGCTGCAGTCGGATCCTGCTTCCCTGTCTCGCGCGTTGTCTACCACTGCGTTGAGAGCTTACTTTTCTTTTTCTTTTCTTCCTTTTTTTACTTCCATGTGCATAATTGCAAAAAAAAAAAAAAAAGAGATGATGAAGTTATAGTGTGATACACCACAGTGATCAGAGTCAGCGCAATGTGAGTGTTCTTCCTTGAGTGTTTAAAATTTACTTTTGTGTGCGTCTGTTTTTTTTGCTGTTTTTTTTTTTTGCGCTGTGAAGTGTTATATTTTGTTTCACCTTATGATGCACCGCAGGAAAGGCTACAAGCGCGAGCTCCTTGCTCTAGGGCACACCTCGGCAGCACAAGCTCTCGTCTAATAAGAGTAGCTCCCAACGTTATGAGCTCGCGCTTCTAGCCTTGTCTGCGGTACAACATAAGGTGAAACGGAGTAGATTATGAATCAACAATTCGCCCTAGCTCAAGTATTGCTATTCAAACTTGGCGGTCTAGACAATCCGGAAGCAAGAGGCTCGACTGCAGCGCTGCTAGTTCTCGTGACCGCCACTGAGCCCACGTCGCATGCCATAGAGATCATACATACAGGGTGTCACAAAAGAAGATTTACACGGTCTTTTTTACCGCAAAAATAAACTAGGCATCGCCGAACGCTCATTCTCCGCCCAAAGGTAGAGCTAGAGGTCACAACCATATGCCAAAGTTTCAGCCCGATCCGATAACTTAATAAAAAGTTATAAGTGATTTTCTGAAAATTTCAATGGGAAAATGGCGGCCGACGGAGTTTTCGAACACATGGGGCTCTATGGCACCAGAAACCGAAAACGGGCAAAAATGGGCTCCATTTTCCCATTGAAATTTTCAGAAAATCACTTATAACTTTTGATTAAGTTATCGGATCGGGATGAAACTTTGGCACCTGGTTGTGACCTCTAGCTCTACCTTTGGGCAGAGAATGAGCGTTCGGCGATGCCTAGTTTATTTTTGCGGTAAAAACGACCGTGTAAATTTTCTTTTGTGACACCCTGTACTAACTCTAGAGGAAAAGGTCCGCCATTTTCCCATACACTCTGGCTGCCGCAAGCGGCGGATCATGCAGGCAGACCCTCGGGGTCCCAAACACTTTTACATCATCAGAGCAGTTTCGTGAACTTCAGCAATCCACGAACTTACCGGTGGAAAGATATTCGCGTTCCTTTCGAAGCTTTCTTTTTGCATAGCGCGCAGATGTACGGCCTCGCGTTAACGCTAATCTAAACCATATACCCGGCTTCGCCGGTGGGGGGCGGGTGAGCGCGGTTGAAAAATACGAAACTGCGCAACCACCAGATTTCCGAGATTTCGACAGAAGGGAAGTCAATGCAGCGTAATGACTTTATTGCTTTTTATAAGCGTTAGAATAGCTCCGAATTTAGTTTACAACGTTAAATTATCACTGTTTATATTGCTGAGAGTTTTCACTCTTCGCGTTTACCATGGCAACGTTGCTTTCTTTCTCTCGTGTTCTGTCGCTCTCTTTTGCGATCGTTCACTCGGGACCCCGGGTGTCGGCGCACGGGATTTGCCACTCCTCCTCACCCACCTTTACCCCCCTGACGCATGCGGAGCTGTGAAACTGAGCTTGCTCCAGTAACGTTGCTCGTGAGTACCCTCTTTAAATGGGTATAGCATGTTTTCGCAGATGTCGAATACTTCGGTGATGATAGCGAGTAACGTGAGCAGACTGAATTTCGGAAACGTTCCAACCCGTCAGGCAAAAATGTCTTTTTTTCTCTCATCCTACCAACCTTGGGCGTCAAATAAAAAACAACAACAACAAAAAAGGGTCATGGTGTAATACGCCAAGACAACACGGACGAAAACGAAGGGAGAACTGGACGGGACGCGGTGGGATAAAAAACGAACTTTGGAAAAAGAGGGGGGGGGGGGGGGGGTTCAACCCTCAAAGGGCCTTCCCTCTCCCTCCCGCGCGGTCGGTGTGACCTGAAGCACTCGTTTCAGCAGACTCTCACATTCGAGCGCAATGCCACTCACTCAACCCTGAGGTTTCCATGAACGTTTTCCTCGTACCATTCTACCTGACTCTCGCTGCAACAGCTAGTCCTTTGTTCGAGCAACTTCACCTCGCACTTACCAAGAGACGACCACCAACGATCGGCAGGTCCACACGGCGTTCTTCAATGGCGATGTGAACGTGGACTGCAAGGACAGCTTCTGGATCACGCTCACCTTCCCGGTAGGCATCCGCAACCCGGACGTCATCTTCGACTACATGGTTCCCGGAGGACTCGTGTCCGGGGAGATGAGGGCCAAGTTTGCTCTGTTCGGGGCCAACGTGGTCATGAGGACGCCCAAGGTGAGGAACGTCTCCGCCAAGCCGTACATCATGGACGTCAACTTCTGGTCCACGGAGGGCTTTAAGGTATAGGTTTGTTTAAACATTTTCGCTCCAAAGCACTGCGCTGTTTAAAAAAGAGAGTACCATTACTCTCTTTTTACAAATGCCTTACAAATGCAGAATCTTTTTCTTCAAACTTTCTTGAGTACCACCAAAAGAATACAATTAGAGTCTAAGTAGATGAAACTTGTCGCTGTGCCAATGTGGCAAGCGCGTACCAAACGAGTAGATTGTTTTACGCATATTTTCTGGAGTGGAAGACGCCTGTACCAGTGGTAGAGAGCGAAGTTTGACTGGTACTCTCTTTTTACATTCGTATGCAACGCAGATGTCAGTCGTGCTTGTATTCGTGTTCTATATCGTTATTACGCCCCCCAGGCATCCTCCTGAACTGGGCGAACCACCGTCAGCCGCGCAAAATAGGCGTCAGTCGTGCCTTCTGGCTCTGCCAAGATGGCGGCGTGTCGCGTGCAAGTTCGTCTGCTCCTTGCTCACCTGGTGCGTTTATTTATTCGCCATATACGTCCACAATATGCGTTCTCTGTTTCCCTTTTATTGGCGTGCTCCTCATTGCGTTCTGATGTGCCGCAGACGCATTTTGGAACACTTACTCGCCGTATTTGTCTGGCTCGCCGCCATCTTGCTACGGGTAAATCCGTCTTCATTTGCAGAGCGCTATTTCCAGCTTAAAAAGCTTTTATAACCGTCTTGGTGGCATGTACGCATCATCATCCAAGGTGGCAGCTGCCATATTACACGTGGAACGGTGTTGCAAACATGACAACCTGACTCGTGTCTCCTGTGTAAGTATGCTCAGTATGCACGTCATCTTGCTTACGTACCTGCTCGCATCAGTAGTAGACAATGGGTAGTTCGCGAGCTTTCGGATAAAAATTGTCTGAAAGGGCTCTTTCAAGGGGGAAAGACCAAATCCCTTCCACCTTAAAAAAACCTGCTATATGCACAAAAAAAAAAAAAAAGAAACACTGCACACTTTATGTAAAGTTTTTTTTATGATAGTAATTTTTTTTTGCCTTTATTTCAAGGACCTTCAATTATAGCGTTATATATTTTACACCTGCACGTCGACAACGCGTAGTTTATTTTTGCGGTAAAAAAGAAAAAAAAAAGAAAAATAACTGGGTAAAATTTTTGGGCTGATAACCTATAGTAGTTTTGAGCCATTACTTTATGAAACGTGTCGCCCGGTGTCCTGCTCCCCAGTGGTCGCGTTGCGAAGCCACCCCCTCGCCTCCCTCGTAGGATGGAAAGAAGTAGGGCGCACGTGTGTTGCGCGAGCCACTGGGGATCGAGCAGGACTGCGGGCGCGGAGATGCGCTCCGATAAGAAACCGAAATCTAGAAACGCGTCCAAATGAAGAGTTTTTACAGAACGCCGTAAAATGCTTCCCCGGCGTTATACCCTTTTAAAAAGAGTTGATTTAGTGGTTTCCGATGACGCTGAGCGAGTTTATAACTGGAACTATATGTCTATTTGCACTAAATAAAAAGTTAATTAACAAATCCTACTTAAATAGCCGACTGATAGTTGCGACTATCTCCCTATACTCTGTCCCCCTGGCCGTATTTCACACCTGCACAAACCGCATAAGTGCAGTTTTCACGGCTTTTTCAAAACAAATTTGAAAGAATTAAAAAAAAAAAAAAAAAAAAAAAAAACTCTCCGTATATATATATACGTGGGCCTTGACATTATTTGCGAGTGCGTGCACACCGGATCTCTGGAGCCAGAAACGCCGAGTGGGAAGTTGTGTGTGAACGGCGTTTGTCTGTGTGCGCAGCTGTCCCTGACCGGCCTGGGCCCCGTGACCGGTGCCCTGTCGACGGGCTTGGGCCTCGTCTACACGCTGGCGCCGATGCCGCTCATGGAGTTCTTCCGCGTCCTCATGATCAGGGTGCTGCAGCAGTTCCTAGAAGTCACGCCGCTGCCTTTCTAGCTCACACCGTCTATAATAAAGCAATACAAAAAATAAATAATAAATAAACGGAGACCGCACAGTGTAAACGGATATCGCGGTCAGACTTCTAATAAGTCATACAAAAGACAGACTGCAAACACTGTCTGAGAAGGTCTGAGGCGTAATCCTTCCATGTTTGACTGTTCCATGGTCATGACGAATGGATGGATGGATTTTAATGGCTATACCCTTTGTAACCGGCGGTAGCTTGCGCCACCTACCCTAAGTTTAAAAAGACAAACATAGGCCAATTTTCTCCCCCTAACTATCACCACTCAGTCTGGGATATCATCAGGATGACCTTTGGTTGATCGGGCAACAAAAACTAAAAAATTTCACCGAAGTGTGCGTATATGTATGAAGCAAACGTGCTTGCAACGTGCGTGAGGCCTGTCAGCATTTAGTTCTGTCACCGTGTCTGACTCTGTGGCGAACACTTTTTTTTTATTATTATTTTTTATGATGTGCGAGCAGCGTGATTGCTGCTTTCGTATAGACTTTTGCATCGCTTATCACCCGAATGAAAAATGCTGAGTCACTGAGCTGTGGACGCATGCACAGCGTCTGATATACCGCACTGGTGACAAACAGCCTATGAAGGCGTTCCACAGCCCAGCAGACGAAGATAGCAGCGCACAGAAAGCGATTTTTGCAAAGGTCTATAGATCGTTCCAATACCTCCGATAACGTACGACACCCGATACTCTGCCGATGCCTTTACGCACATCGTATCGTTGGTCGGGCACCGTTATCGGAGGTGGCCTAACGAACTGCTAAAGCTCCCTAATGATAAGAGTTGTGGGAACCATGGGGTTCCCTCTATCCCTATCCACGCCTAGCTTCGAGCAGGCCGTGGGAGCCGTTGTCACCAATGGCGTCGGCCTCCCGGATACAAGGAACCACGAGGCCGAATTCCCCGAAGGGGCCGGCTCTCCCTTGGACATTTTGGGTGAACGCGCCTTCGGCACACCCTTGAGAGTTACAATGAACGCGACTGCTAGTGGCCTCCCCGGGCGCGTCCATTCTCCGAGGCTACATAAGCTGGCCCCGAAGGTGGGCCAGGGGCTCTCGTCGGCGGAGGCCCTGGCTCTACGGAGCTCGGTTTTTCTTTGTGGGCCTCCGACTTCCCGTGAATCTGTCTAATGCGGCAGCGCGGGAAACCGACCGGGTGATACTGGCAATTGAGCCAGCGCCCAGACTTTTCATTGTCTAAGAGCGAAGCGTGCTGACATTGCAGTCAATAAACACGTCTTTATGCGGACCCAAGGAACTCTTTGTTTCTAAGTGGTAACCCCCCAAAGGGGAATTCCCACATTTGGCGCCCAACGTGGGGAGCCAGTTGTGGGATTCTAGTTTACCCCGAAGTCCACAGTGAGGCAAATACCCACTACGTAACTCGTCGGTTGCAATAAAGCGGGTTTCGACTTACCTTGCTGATCGCTGTGAGGCAACACCCACTCCGTAGGTCGCTGCTATGGCGGCTACGGCCGGGTGCGTCCGTTGCCTGCCGTTAGGCTCCGATGGACGGGAGACCACACGAAACACTGGGATATCGTAGAAACGTGTTTATTAGGCTTACGCCACACGCTTTGCGCCCGTAGGTGGAACAAAAGAGAAACGAGGTTGGCGCTGCCTTAATTGACAGGATCACCAGGAGAAACGTCCGCGCTGCCTTAACTGGCAGGATCACGGAAAAGGGGGATCAGTAAAATAACGATGAATGCTCCGTCGAGCGTAGCCCCCCCTAACCAAGAGCCCCGGCCACAGGTGGGTGGCCGGCTTATGTAGCCTGCGGGAAATAGACGCGCCCGGGGAGGAAGGTAGAAGGTCACTCGAAAACGGGACGCGTCCATAATCACTCCCAAGGGTGTGCCGATGGCGCGTTCACCCAAAATGGGCAAGGGAGAGCCGGCCCTTTCGGGGAATTCGGCCTCGTGGTTCCTTGTATCCGGGAGGTCGACGCCATTGGTGACGACGACTCCCACGGCCTGCTTGAAACTAGGCCTATATAGGGATAGAGGGAACCCCATGGTTCCCACAGAGTGCAGAACAGAAGAGATTCCGGCTGCACCGTGGAAACGTACGTTTATCGCAGCTCATTGCGGGCAGAGCACTGGAAAACCTTGAGAGACATCCTGGGTTCTAACTTCGATTCCCGCCCCTGGCGCGGCCTTATATCGGTATGCGAAGGTGTGTTGTACCCACGGTGGAAGAAGTACATTTAGGTCAAGGAGGTTAGAAGTACTAGGAGGGGGCACGTTGCAATATTGGTGAAGCCTAGTCATAAAAAGTTTAAACGATTTTGTGCCCAGCGTGACCGCAGATCTCTCTGGCGATTGGTGCGCGTGACATGTCACGTGGGAGGTGGATGGTTGATTGTAGAAGGATTCCTTGCAGGCTTGCGCGCGCTTCGTCCGGTAGGTTTTATCAGGTCGAAGTCTAGACTGTGGTGTATTCTAGTACCCCACAGCAAGACGAAGTCTAGCTACGGTCATGTGATGTGGTCACGTTGGCGTGGTAAGTGAGGAGAGTAAGGAGGAAAATGAGAAAGAGGCGAGGCGTCAAGGGAGCATGGCTTGTGGAGGCTACGCGGCCGACGTCATGCCCTCTCCTACCCTTCTATTCTCCATGATTTAGGTGATGACTCTCTGTCACGCGCGGCGACCACATTATGTTCGGCGCACCGAGCGCGCTTCACTCGCACGGGGATAGATGGCGCGCAAGTATAGAGGGGCTTGTGAAGGCTTGTTTATAGGGCTTGTGAAGGAAATTATGCATTCTTTACTCGGTCCCTGTGTACTGTGTTGTGAAATGATGGATTTATGTTGGCGCACTGGCACTGATCGCCTTTTCCACCGTGCGGTTTTTTTTGTTTTTTTTTTTTTAAACGAGAACATTTTGATGATGACTCAACGTGGCAAAAATACTCGTATAAATATAAAACTTCCCGGCATAATCTACTGGGCCTTCAATAATTTAGAGTAAACACCTGGGTCATGCTCGAATGTTTTGTCCAACAACATGTTTGGTAACAGTTCCATAAATCGTTTACACAATTGCGTGGCTTTATATGAGGTCGGGTGATTTTTTCCACCCTGCTCCTGCCTTCTTATTGACAAAAAAAAAATTCTAATAATGTTACATAGTGGGGCCTAAATAATTCTTTAAATGCGCATAAAGGTTTAAGCATTACAAATGGTTTATACATACAATGTCAACTTGTACTGTGGAACATACAAACCTTGTGAGCAGAAAAAAAATCCTATTTATGATGACATAGTGACTGAAACGATGACACAGTATGATGACGTACTGACTGACATGATGACACAGTGACTGAACGTCAAACAATTGTAGCGGTTATAAGACATAAATCACTTTTCATCTATACTCGCACAATATGGTGTCATCCCGTCTTACAGGTAAAACAATACCTGACAAATATTTTTGCTTTAAAATGTACATAAAAGCTGAATTCACTACATACTACCAAAGAACGCCATCTCATACACACTGTTTCTCGCCCATGCCCTTAATCTAAGACTAGCGCTGCTTTGCTGATTTCTATATCTCTTAAACTTGTTTTTTTCCTGCTCATTGTAATATGCTTACAGTGTTGTCGCATTCGCATGCTGAAGTAGTAGTGGAGCAACTGGGCGATTGTTTCTTCTTTGTGTTCAGCGCATGGAAACTTTATTGTGCATGTGTCAAGAACACTGTCGATTGTGTCCCAGTAGACAATCTTGTGGCTTTTATTTTGCACGAAGAACTGTTCCGCTTTCTTCAGTAGCTGGAAAAGGCTCTTGTTGGGGTGTGTAAGGCCTCCTCTGTTCTTCACGTTTGTCAGTGCTGCTTCAGTAGAAGTGTTCTTGTCGACGCTGAAAGCGGATCGGCATGCAAAGCAGCGTGTAATTCTTTTTTTTTTTACGTTTAAAAACTTAGTTACATAATATAGCATGCAGTCCACAGCCTTGGTTTCATAAGCCCTTTCTGTCCAGACATCTTCGCATTCCCAGTCTACGACAGAAATTAGACTGTCAAGCTCGGTCTTCACTTGGTCAACGAGATGAGTAACTTGGCGATCGGCCCTCGGGATTGCACGACGCCACTGCTCCAGGCGAGCGTCATTCGATGGAGCTTTAAACAAGGACACTCGCTCTGCGCAGTTCCGGTACCCCGAATTGCAGTTGGGAACGAAGCACGTCTTTCCCATCCTTATAGCATAACTTCTTTTTCGGGTTAATGCTCATCTTCGTGCAAGATGGTGGCACCGGTGATTGACACAGCACCAAAGCAAAACATGAGGTCAGCCACTGACCGCATACCACCACCACACAGCGAAAAGGCGAGCAAGCTACGCCCCCTACTCCGTGGCCGCCGAAGAGAGACCTCATACCCACGGTGCTCACACCTCAGCGCCCTCCGCGCCGGCACGGAACAACTACACTTCGTTTCACCCTACGTTGTACCGCGGCGAAGGCTAGAAGCGCGAGCTCATAGCGTTGGCAGCTCTTCTTAAGTCATGAGAGCTTGTGCCGCCGGGATGTGCCCCAGAGTAAGGAGCTCGCACTTGTAGCCTTTCCTGCGGTACATGATAAGGTGAAACAGAGTATACTCCTAGTTCCGAACACGATCTGATCGCTCGCTCCCCCCGGGAAGAGCGGCCAGAGTCACCACCTAAATGTACTCTTTCCACCGTGGTTGTACCGCGGGGTGAGGGCCTGTAATCAACACTGCCTGCGAACGTTTGTTTACGGCGCACGCGCACGCCTCCCATGTTCTGCACTTTTGTTTTTGCCAAACAAGTATATTTATGGAGGAAAAAAAGCACGTTGACCGCTTTTCGTGGGAAGCTGCGGTGAACTCGGAGAAAAACCACACCCCTCAATCTGGGCGAACTTCTATTTCTAGGCGTGAATGGGCATTCGATAATCAGGTGCTTCCAGGCAAGCATGGCGTTGCGAAGAAACAGTACGTCCCTTCACACATGTGTCGTTCGTTGTACTTACACGAATAAATAAAAGGAGGAAATGACGCAGGGATATGCTTTTTCACTTTATTAAAATATAACTTGTTTCTTTCTTTCTTTTTTTTTTTTTTAAATTGGGAGTGGATAGTTGTCGGCGTAGCGTTGCAGCGCCCTGTGGAGTAGTATCCGGAAGAGCTCTTCCTGCGGTTGTCCGTACATCGCATGCGTCGTGTGAAGTGCCAAGTTGAAGAGAGAGCCCAGGAGTCCCATGTCGTGGAAGGTCATCTTGAACCGCACCAGCTTCAAGATGTCCATGGAAGACACCAGGGGAGGAGCGGACCTCTTCTTGCGCGTCGCGAGCAGTCTCACGTCGAAGTCGATCAGGTCCATGGTGATGTGGAGCTCTCCCGTCAACGGGACCTCTCGCAGCGACTGCCGGACGTCGTACACGATGCGTGGACGCTTTACTTTGAGCGGAATCTGCAAGTCCATGTGGGTATCGTTGCACCTGGGTGGGCAGCGATCGTCACTGCACGGTTCCCAGTGCTCGTTATAAATGCTATTGGAATATCGAGTTATTTCCAACATTTCTCTACCTTTATGTTGCTTCTGGCCGTCGGTGTGCATTTGTTGCTCTAATTACATTTTTTTGTTGATCTCCGATTTGAGGGGTGGGTTGTGGAGCCGATAAGGTACAGTTAATCGCTTTTTTTTTTCAAACATATGTTAGACAATGAGGTTTAGAAACTTGCGAATTAGGGTGAATCAATCAGTCAACCGATCACGTTTCTTTGTTTTTTCTTAAAAATATATGAGCTAGTTTTTTCGTTTTTTTTTTTTCTTCTAAAATGTTGAATAATTGACATGTTGGTGACGCTAAGGAGGAACCAATCACCTGAATAAGGCACCAAAAAGCAACGGGGTGATTTCGCTAATTATCAATAAAGGTCGACTCAATAAGTTCAGTGTTGTTCTTCTGGTCGCCGCTTCAGTTATTAAAGACCAACAATTATCCTTTTTTTTTTAGGAATCGTTTTTTTCTAAAAGTCAGTCTCCCAGTTAGTCCACTTAAAATTAAAGGTATTTTTGTAGCTTAGGTCGTAATTTTCAACGAAATTGTCTGCTTTCCTCAGCCAATGAATCTTGGATTGGCTGAGGAACGCAAGCTCAGCAGCGGCAAGCCGACTTTAGTTCGTGCTCAGGAACGTCGGTGTAGTGTAGGAACCGAGAGAGTCAAAGACATACTCCACAGATAGTTTCCCCCTGAAGTAGGTCTCGTTCACGTTGTGCACTCTGCCCCGACGTAGGTCGAACAGTCCCAGCGGGTCCCCGTCTCCGATGAACAAAGGAGCAGTCTCCGTCAGGACGGGCCGATAGCCGTCTAGAATGCTGCCGAATACGCTGCTGAATGCGTCCGAACCCAAACAGATGATGTTCGACTGTGCTGGAATAACACGGGTGAATGAGCATGGCAGGATAGAGATATACATACGCACTATAAACTTCCCTGAAGCGAAGCACCTGCACACGACCCGTTTTTGACGTCACGCCAAAGCGATGCATGGTCGTTTTGGCGTCAAAAATGTGAACCCGTGTCCTTACATAACTTCCACTTGGCGTCATCCCACTATGCTGATAACCATTCCTACTTGTCCTTTCAAAAAAAAAAAAAAAAAACTGTGGTGTTAGAAGCAGACATATACTGTAGAAGGCTCATCAGCAAGACCACCGTAATGGCAGCTGATGTGACGTCAATCAACTTGCTTCAAACGGGTCGCCGGATTAAATTGTTTCTGTAAGGGACAACTAAATACTTTGCGTGAGCCGTCGCCTTCTTGCAATTCTGGCAGTTGGTTGTAGAAGCATCGGCGAAGGAAACGAGTGGATGCAGGCGCGCCGCTCCTGCCACTATAGCGTCGGTTGATGGTTGATGGCACGGTTGATGGAGATTAGTAGGGTACGTTGTTGGGCTAGCTGGTTCATCTTAGTTAAGCATATAAAATAGCGCAAAAATAAACAAGGACAAGAAGTGCTTGTCCTGTATACTTCTTGTCCTTGTCTTTTCTGCGCTATCTTATACAGAGTGTCACAAAAGAAAATTTACACGGTCTTCTTTACCGCAAAAATAAACTTGGCATCGCCGAACGCTCATTCTCCGCCCAAAGGTAGCTCTAGAGGTCACAACCAGATGCCAAAGTTTCAGCCCGATCCGATAACTCAATCAGAAGTTATAAATTATTTTCTGAAACTTTCAATGGGAAAATGGCGGCCGACGGAGTTTTCAAACACATGGGGCTCTATGGCACCAGAAACCGAAAACAGGCAAAAATGGGCTCCATTTTCCCATTGAACTTTTCAGAAAATCACTTATAACTTTTGATTAAGTTATCGAATCGGGCTGAAACTTTGCCACCTGGTTGAGACCTCTAGCTCTACCTTTGGGTGGAGAATGAGCGTTCGGCGATGCCTAGTTTATTTTTGCGGTAAAAAAGACCGCGTAAATTTTCTTTTGTGACACCCTGTATATGTTTAACTAAGTTGATATAGGTGAACGAAGGAAGACGGGCAGGAAGAGTGTTTAGGTACCTATACATGAGCAACGTGGACACAAGATTGAGGAAACGAACCCGAAGACCCTCGTCATGTGGTAACACTGGGGAGGACCTACAAACCAGATCAGTGAATACTGCTGTAAAGAAAACAGAGAAAGGAACGTGGAAAAGGACATATTCCATACAGCGAGGGTACAAAAGGGGGACAGACAGACACGAAGCTCCGAAATCGGAGCTTCGTGTGTAGCTGTCCGTCCCCCTGTTGTTTCCTCGCTCGATACCATGTCTTTCCTTAAATAACGGACCTGACTGCTAAAAAGAAAAAAAAGTTGTAAAAGAATTTTTAAAGATTTTTAGGCTTGTTCATATTTTGCGCCCGAAAAAGGTTATTTTAAGCACCCCCAATACAAGAATTCTTCGTTAAAAACCAATACGCGTCGATTTGAAAGAGTTCTTCATCGCCCAGTTGCCTTTCTAGTGCGCCAGGGGGCGATAGTGGTTGAGGCGAAATAAGGCCTTAAGGCGAAAGCCTTCTTCATGAGCTGAAAGAGGTCTTGAGGCGTCAAAAAAAACCTTCCAAAACTTTTTTTTTTTTTTTTTTACAGCTTGGGAAGGAAGATTGCAGTAGCTTTATGAATGTGCAAGACTAGAACTCCCAAAATTAGAAAGGAGGGTAAGTTCGATCATTCCAGAGAGGGGGAAGTTCGTTATTATTTCAAGCTATGCGACAAGAAACTGAGGGAGAGGAGGAGACGTCAGAACGCCAAGCTTTGGTTGGAAGGATCAGTGTGTAGACCTAAAGCTATAGCTGCCTTTGTCTGCACTGCACTCGTCGGACGCGTTAGAAGGCGGAAACCGGCGTCCAGCGTTTGGCGTTCGCCATGGAGCCGTGGAATTTGGTGAGGACAGGGGATACAGCGGAATTTTAAACTTTACGGTTAAAATCAGGGGAAGGACAGAAAGCGACTTTGGTTGAGTTTGATTAAATAACGTTAGGCGGAGTACCACGGAATAATATTACAGATATCTGGCTAGGTAGCGCAAGCCAGCGTCTAATTCAAACGAAGCACTCGCCATCCATTCATTACAACGATTCGAGTCTGTTAACCGTGGGTACAGGTGGTACAGAGTGTTGCATCTGGTATTTTTTTATGACTAACCGGCTGCAGAGGAGGCTATAGCCACTAATAGATAACGTTACTACAATACTCGGCTTTGAAACTCACCCTCGAAACTCAGACAGCGCCGCTCTTTAGCGACGAGTCAAAACATAAAATATCATTTATATTGCTACTGCTAAATGACACTGCGAGATGGCGCCACCGGCCCTTGCGCGACTCGATCTAAACCAATACGTGCAGCCGTGCAGTTCCCGGGGTGGCCGCTGCGGTAGAAATGGCGCCGTTGCGATCGCCTTAGTTCGGTTCTCGAGAAAGGATCAAAGCCGCTTTTTCAAAGCAAGATTTATTTCAGTTCTCCAACTTGGTTGTTCTAGTAACGTTGCTAAAACGGCAAGGCATGGCGAGTAAACAATCGAAGCCTGTGCACTATAAGTTTGACGTCATTACAGTGAGATGGAACGAAGACACCGATTGGATACGAGTGTTGCGTCAGTGCTCGGCTGGGCCTCGTGTCCAATCAACGCGTCGTCGAAGGACGCTCGGCGTCGGGCTGGGGTCCATTTACCGAGTCGGCCCATCCGACTGAGATAACGGTCTGTATGGACTATGGAGGAACAGGGGGACGTTTGGAGGCCTTCATTGGTCAATGATGAAAATATTCCCTGAAGAAGGGGAACAAGAGGGACAGATGACAAACACAAATCTCCAAACATAGCAGTCACGTAGCTGTGTTTAGAGATTTGTGTTTGTAATCTGTCCCTTTTGTTCCCCTCCTCCAGGGAATATTTTCATCATTAATGTCCAGCTCGCTTGCACCTTTGCATTTAATTGCATTATAACCATAACCTTAAATTGCAAGCTTCACCTTCGTTGGTGTTAGACTGGTGGCAGCTGATAAAACCCGTTTGCACTTCCAACGTCTAACCCCTGGTTAGCTCAGTTGGTAGAGCGCTCCACCTGTGATGGAGAGGTCCCGGGTTCGATACGCGGACCAGGCGGATTTTTTCGGTCGCGCACCAGTCACGTAGCTGTGTTTGGAGATTTGTGTTTGTCATCTGTCCCTCTTGTTCCCCTTCTCCAGGGAATATTTTCATCATTAATGTCCAGCTCGCTTGCACCTTTGCATTTAATTGCATTATAATCATTGGTCTACTCTCGTTTTCATCTCAAGAAAAAAGGACGCTCTGCGTATTGTTCATACGCCGGGCGAAGTAGTTCTTACGAGATTTGGTTGTCGGAGGAAAAAGCGATGCTTTTTGTGTTCGAAACGCATACGTCATGATAGCTAACACATATCTAATCTAAAATGCACGTACATATATTTTAATTGTCCACATAAATGGGAAAATCAGTAATGCTCCGCGAGGAGCCGGACTTTTTTTACTACGGTTCTTGAGGTGAAAATGGGTATAGGTGGTGTTGGGCGAGTGCGAGTGCCGTACACAATAAGATTTCGGTATTAACCGAAAAGAACGCCGGAAAACGCCGCTGCATTACCGATATGGTATATTTGACGCCGCCACTGGGAGCTTCGAGGTGACCAAATAGAGGGACATTAAACGCACCAGTCATAGACGAGTGGTGTGTTTAGCGATGAGCGAGGCATTACGAGAACAGTAGTGTTAGTGTGTCTCACTGCCCAAAGAACAAAGCGTACGTTTTTGTTTGTTTTTATTTTGTTTTGTTTTTTACTCCGGAATTTTATTAGTTTAGGAGGTTTAATAGAGACCCCTTTCGAAATTTGCATGCCGATTATTAGAGGGTCGGAGATACTGCTTAATGGCGGAACAACTGGCATCCTGGAACGTGCAAGTCATTCCATAAGATGGCGAACTTCGGAGTGCGGCCAACGCTAGGAGCCGACGAGCCAATCAAACAGCATCGAAAGTGCAACGTCACTGAACTCATCACCTTTTTTTGTGACTATTTTTGCCTTCTAACCCAACCAAACGCATAAGGTGTGCCGTGACGTTGCGGTTTTAGCCCGTCGTTATGCGGGTATTCCACAGCTGCCAACAGAGGGCAGTCGAAAGGGGTCTATAAAGGCCGGATGTTCCCCTTCACCTGTAGCTCGCCCTTGATAGTGCTTCTACAATCTGGGCTGCGTGACAACCCACATGAAAATAAGCTGCAGCTTCCAGCTGGAAATGAAGATTTCTAGTCGCATTTTCGGCTAAATTAAACAGCAGCAGCTGGAAATCCTCTTTACAGCTGGAAATGGATGCTGCACATGCTAAAAATAAAAAATTCCAGCTTGGAAGTACATGTCATTTCTATACTCCGTTTCATCTTATGTTGTACCGCAGCGAAGGCTATAGAAGCACGAGCTCATAGCATTGGCAGCTGCCCTTGGTGCACGAGAGCTTGTGCCGCCGAGATGTGCCATAGAGCAAGGAGCTCGCGCGTTTAGCCTTTCCTGCGGTACAACACAAGGTGAAACAGAGTATAGCAAGAAATTTCTCCATTTCTGGGTGGAAACAGCCTGGAATTCGGCTGGCAAAGTAGATTTCCAGCTCCAGCCGTGGTCTATACCCGGTTTCATAACGAACAAAGAGGACGAGCGCCATGACGATGCGCTTTTGGTGATGCTGGATTGGCTTCGAGCTTTCATCGAGAGTCCATCTGGCTTAAACCGGATTCTCGAGAGAAAAAAAATAAATAAATGGAAGCAAGAGGAAGCGCACCCACTCACCACGAGTAGTGAAGAATTGTTTGTGAAAGACACCAAAAGATATCAAGAGGGCAAACATGGCGTGTGGCCGCGAGGACGCGACTCGGCGGCACTCTCTAAGGAGACGCAGATAGCGGTACCTGCGGCTTTCAAGCGCGTCAACGTGATACTCGCCAAACACTTTGACCAAGACGGAATAGGCGATAAATGCGAGTGGATTGAGAGACACGTGCACTCGTAAAAGGCCCGAGCGCCTGTATATATATATGCATCATTTAGAAAGCAACAATTTCAGCCTCATTTGCTCATTCGTGCAAATTAACTGAGAACGAACGGTACGTGGAAGCAGCTGCCTTTATTCAACACGTAAATCTCCTCGTGGCCACCGGCACGCAGTGTACACTTAATAACTTAACAAACAAACAAAGACAAAAGCGCGAACAATAAAAATCTAATTACATGCAAGGACCGACAGTATGGCCGCAATTTCGCGGCATGCTATACACGCTTCACTGATTTTTATTGTAAAGTACTAGCAACAGCATGGACTTGACGGTAAAACGGTTCAGTGTACACACATTAAAAAAAAAGAAGGGATATATTACTCGTTCCCTAGAATATCAATGAATTAGTGTCTTAGACGCTGTTTTACGGGTTCTTTATATCGGTAAAAAACCACTAAAATATAATTTGAAGACTCGTTATTTGTTGCTCTCGAAACCTGGTCAGTTTGATGAAGCTCGAACCTCAACCGGGATAAGATGACTATATATACGTCCTCTAAAACATCTCAATTATGCTTATTTTATTTGTGAATCGAAGGCACGTTGGAAAAGATGTGAAGAAGAACTGAAACATAAAACGTTTTAAAATAGTGATTGCCAAACAGATCCCTCTTTTAGATAATCTTGCTTGTTTTCTGCTGTCCTCGTCGGAATGAACTCTTTCGTGTACGCGAAGAATGCATCTCTAAATTTTTATCACCAGATGATAAACCCTGCGATTATAACCAGCGTTTTTATGTGGAAAGTATTGATAGCTACTCGGAGAGAAAACAGGCTGCGTCACTCGGTGTTGCCCAGGTGCAAGTTATGCGGCACAAGTTTGGTATTATGCTTGCGGTGATATGTCTCATTCCCTTGAAAACTTAAGCCAGGCACAATTATTGAAAAAAAAAGAACAAATTTTGCAAGACTGAGATGGGTTTAAATATGGCGCATTAATTTATCTTAAATTTTCTTTTCGACTTGAAAGTACAGTTCTGAATCAACATTTCATTAATCCCGACTTTCTCTTCTTTCCCTCCTTTTTATCATTTCCTATCGGTAATATAAACTGAAGCTATCAAACTTTGTAGCACAAAAACAACCGGGATATTCTCAATAAAGATTGCGCGTCACAACACATTCAATATGACTGGTCAGTAAGCTAACCTGTCCACATAGTCATGGCAGCCCGATATCGTGTGAACTCCTTTTGTCGTCTTTTATAAAGAGAAAAAGAATGCATCTACATGGCTCGCATTAACGACATATCAGTAGCCTTTCTGCCGAGCGTGTACCCTTCTGCAGCGTACATTTCATTTCACCGAATTTCTTTTTGCTCGGGAAGAACAAGTAGTAATGACCGCCAAAAATGGCGCAGCGATGGCGTCTCCATGTGTGATACCCAAGATTCACGAAATTCGGGATGCCAAGCTTCCTAAGGTTGTCGGAAGTTCTTGGGCCTGATCTTCATCTCCACCGCCTTCAGGGGCACAGTCTTCCAGGAGGGCCAACGGATACCTTTGGTCGATGGAGTGTTCCTGTCCTGCGAATACTCTCCCGTGAGCAGGACGCTGTAGCAGCTGTGGAACCACCATCCGGCCTTGTGGGTCTTGGCGCAGTTGTTGTACCTCCTCGCCGGGTTCCTGTCGTCAGTGCTGAAGAGCTGCTCGCTGTGTCTCCTCAGACTGTTTCCCACCCTGGGGTCGGAGCCCAGGTAATCTCCGACCCTGAGACGGTAGTTCTCGTTCTCAGAACCCACGACGAACGCTTCGTAGTCCAGGTCAATCTTCTCGCCCTCGAAGGTCTCCAGGGTGACCCTAAGCATCATGTCTTTCTCCGTGGACAGCATATGGATGAAGTCGTTGCCGAGCCAGAACTCTTTCTCGATGTCTCCGAAGCCGTGCTTGTAGCCGTTCCAGTCGTGTTCGAAGCTGAGAGGCCACTGGGCGTATTTTCCCCTGCGCATCAGCACCTGCGCAGGAACAAGGACGGAGTTCGTTTGACGGCCCGTTTCGTACACATATTTCTTGTCATATGATGTCAACACCAATTCAACTCTCTGCTTAATTTAGCGGGAAAAATGACGTCACATAACTTGGTGTCACGTCACCTATGAACAAATTCAGTTTCTCCAGGGTAAAATTAACGTCACGTGACCTCGACAGCAATTCAATTCCCCGCTCAATTTAGCGGGAAAATTGATGTCACGTGACCTCAACACCAACTCAGTTTCCCTGCTGAATTTAGCGGGGAAAATGACGTCACATATGACTTGGTGTCACGAAACCTATGGACAAATTCACTTTCTCTGCTAGATTTAGCGGGAAAATTGACGTCACGTGTGGAGGAGGAGGAGGAGGAGGGAAAGGTACAGAGGAGGAGAAGGGTAGGAGGAGAGAGGACGACGAGGAAATGAGAAAAAGAGGGGAGTATTGTGAAATACTCCCCTCTGAGTATTGTGAAATAAAAAGACGAGGAGCAGAGGAGGAGGGGGTGTTCCCCCCCTCCTCCGTAACCGCGCGTTGCATTAGGGAGTTTTCGAAGCTCAGGGAGTTTTCGTAGATCGCTTTCGAAGTCCCGCGAAGCTCTCCGCAACACTCGACGCTACCCGGAACTCTAGTGAAGGCCATTGGCGCGCAGGCGCATTAGCGGCTTCTTCGTTGCGGAGGGCTTAGCAGAGTGGGAACGCGGTCTACGAAAACTCCCTATTAGGAAGTTTTCGTAGACCGCGTTGCCCCCTCCGCTAAGCGTTCCGCAACGAAGAAGTTGCTACTGCGCTTGCGCGCCGATAGCCTTGACTGTGGAGTTCCCGCTATCGTAGCGGCTTGCGGAGGGCCTTGCGGAACGGCGAAAACGGTCCACGAAAACTCCCTATTATGGGACGTTTCCTCGCTAGAGTTAGCGGGGAAATTTTCCTGCTAAATTTGGCAAGCAAATTGACGTCACGTGACCTCAGCACCCATTCAGGGAAAATGACGCCGCGGCTTCGTGTCGCGTCACCCATAAACAAATTCAGCGGCAGGAGGAGAGGAGGAGGAAAGAAGGAGAAGAGAAGGAGGGGGAAGAAGAGGAGGGGAGGATAAGGGGGAAGGTGATGAGGTGGGTAAGAGGAGAGGGGGAGAGGAGGAGGAGGGGCATACCCTCCCTTCCGTACCCTCCCCTAATCCTCCTCCTCGGGAGCTGCACTTTAGTTTCGCATTACAGAGATTTGTAGACGTCGTTAATTTTTGAGCTAATTATATATTTTATTTAGGAAAACATAAATACCACGATTATTTTTAATATATAAAGCAAAGTGCAGGGGACCAGGCCTCCCACTCGAGAGGCAGAGCTTGCCGCCTAACGACGTGGGAAAATGAGGGAGGTTCTACAGGCCGTTTACAATATGCCTGTTATATTTATTTCACTTTCAGCTCTACTTATTCTCATGATAAGTCACTATTATCTTTTGTTCATATATATATATAAATATATATATATATATATATATATATATATATATATATATATATATATATATATATATATATATATATATATATATATATATATATATATATATATATATATATATATATATATCAGTGTGTCGAACCGAAAAAAATACGGGTTCGGTTACGGTTCAGGTTCAGGTAAATTTATTTTGTTCCGGTTCAGTTCCGGTTCGATTAATTCGATCCGCGAACCGGTTCGCGAACCGGTTCGGAAGTTATGAATGACAAATTGCAACATCAAAATAAATTACAAATAAAACATCTGAAATCAGCACATACGAAACGGGATACATCGTAGTGTAAGGCTCAGGGATTTATACCAGGAATGGTTTCTTTATGTGCACTCAAAGGTTACCTCACCGACGTTTACGCATTCGGACTTCATCTAATTGGGTCCGACGCAGTAGCTGTAAAATCCGCGACCTCCTTACAAACCCACTTACAAGTAGAACTCGCTAACTATGCCGCCACCTCGGCGTGTAAGCAATAAGGAACAGTGGGGAGGAAATACAGCTTTCTTTATTTGAACTAGCCTTCGGTAACTCAAATTAGACCCTTAAAGAAGTTTTCATTAAATAAGATACGGAATATGAAAAACACTTCACCGAATGCAACGCCAGAAGGACGTGATAGGATAAATATTAAAATAGAAGACTTCGCTGTCTCACAAATATGTTAGCTTCTAAGTGCCTATACGAAACCGGATACATTATTATCAAACTCCACAGCCTTTTCTCATTCCGATGGAAGCAAGCTTCAAGAACTCGCGCGTTTTAGAAACGTGTTATGAAATGAGCACACAGCAGCATTTAGCATTTAGGAGGTTGTAGGAAAATGAAATCCCGTGACGCGATTTTTTTTTTTTTTTTTTTTTTGCACAGCCTTCCAATTTTCTTTTTTCCGTGCAAGCCGCGACCAGCGCAATACTGGTTCCTATGTCAAGATTCATGGATGCAGCGTTTGTCAAGATTCATGGATGCAGCGTTTATATTCCTAAGACTGAGTGGAGAAGAAAAATATGTAAGCGAGGTGTGCGTCAGTTGACGGCACTTAAAAAACAAATGGCATTGATAGCACATTCATTGTCAACAGCGCGTGGCCGAACCGTTTTGACATGAGCCGGTAACCGTTATTTTTTTTTCCGGTTCAGTTCCGGTTCGGGTTCATCGCGATAACAATATAACGGTTCGGGTTCGGGCTCAGTTCCGGAAAAAATACCGGTTCGGTTCCGGTTTTCGGTTCGGTTCGGTTCCGGTTCGACACCCTGATATATATATATATATATATACATTTCGAGGAATTGGCATTTTGTAAAGTATTACACACACCCTAGTCTGTAGTTTGTGTTTCACAGTACATAAATTATTGAATTATCACGTGTGCATACGTTTATTCTCTGCTTTATTTGAAGTCGCTATAAGATTTCCTGGAATGTATGTAGATAAAATTATTTTGCTAGCAACTCAAATTGTGGTTATCACTCTTTCGGATATTAACTATTCCTATGACGAAACCAAAATAAATTGATTTTTCTTTCGCGAGAAAAAAATAAGTACTCGTCAGGTTGTATAAAAAAATCAAGACCTAACACGAGTACCGTATTTTCCGTACTATAGTCCGCACCCGGTGTATAGTCCGCAGGGGGAAATTTGGGGTCAAAAATAAAAGATTTTGCTTAGATAGCCCGCACCCGGTGCATAGTCCGCACCTGGTGCTTAGTGGACACGAAAATCTTCTCATAGACGGCACACGTTTACAAAAGTCTGCTTTTTAGCTCACAATAAAGCCTAGAATGTGCATAAATCATCATTAACATACACTTTCGTGCACAAAATTCGTCACGTCTCGTTATAATAAACGATCTTGAAAAACATAATTCCTTTATAGTCCGCACGCGTAGATAGTCCGCACAGCCAGAAATTTCAACTTTTAAACATGTATAGTCCGCGGACTATAGCCCGGAAAATACGGTATTCCCGCCAAACAAAAATTCCTTGTAAGAGAAGCCCTGTGACGAGTTGGCCTACCGAACGTCTTCACCTGTGACCTCCTAGACCCGTTCTGTTTTCTTTCAACACAAGCCCCGGCAAACACAAAAGTTTTGGCCGACATAAAAAAATAGCACTAAAAAACACCGAATCTTTTGAAAAAAAAAAAAAAAAAGAAATCTGAAAAAACATTTTCGAATTTGAAGAAAAATAAACTGCCACAAAAGACGGAACTCTAATTATAACTACAATAAAATTTCGAGAGATGCCTCACCCCCGAAAGATAACACAGCCCTATTTTTGGCACAATTTTCTATTTCTTTAGAAGCACCGAAAGATAGCCCACTTGTAAAAATTGCAGAGCCTTGGCCAATGGGAGCCTCAGCAGAAATGGTGTTACTTAGCCACGGCGGGAGAAAAACGAACGTTGCTGTCTGGAAAGGACGGTCGTCTTTAGTTCAACGCCTTTCCCCGCGATTACAAGGTTTGCAGGTCACAAAATCTAAGACTAGCATTTTTTCAACGTTTTTTCTATCGCACACGATTTGCTTTTGATTTTAGGTGGGCTATCTCTCGGGGTATTACAGTATACCACAGATCAGTTACAATATAAAAGAAAAACAGTGTCATTTGATGACAAATAACTGGGAATGAAAAAAAAAATAAGTGTGGGGAAGGGAGAAGAAGTGCGCGTGTGTGTGTGTGGGGGGGGGGGGATTTTTAATGTTGTGCTTGTTGATCTTGATTAGGCATCACGCTGTGTTTAGCGAATTGTATTAAATCGATTTTTATACTTCAAATTCGTCAACAGCGTGATATGCTTGCGGCGTCTCATAAAAGAGACAAAGTAGCGGCCCTTTTCTTTCTTTCTCTTTTTTTCTCACGAACAAACGCCCATTATTCGACCAAATTCAAGAAACACAAAATGTCAAAAACAACGCACGATAAAAGATTTGTCGCCAAAGCCACCGCAAAACCACCAGTTACCATTCATAATATTTAACTTTTTTAGTAACGTAAATACTGGTCGGAGGGCTAAGATTTTTCTTAGTGCTGAGTATCCGTTCGTTCGTGTTTTCCCCTTTCTAATGTTGGAATCATATTATTTGTTTTTGCGAGAAAAAAAACCGCGGCGCACTGTCCCTTAAACGATATTTCTATAAGGCAAGCTTTTTTTTTCGTTTAAGTTATAATTAATTAGAGCGTAAAATACTTTACAGATACTTGCTAAGTGGTGGTAAACAACTCATATCTATACAAACAAAATAAATCAACAAAACCACGAGCAGTCAAAAAAAAAACAAAAAAACTGAACTGATGCTTTTCTTGAGGCTAAAATTTACGATAAGTAAAAGAACAAAAACATACACACAAAGAAAAAAAAAGCGATGCCCTATCACACGCCCTGGACCTCTTCAAAGGGAACAAACAGATATGACGGAATCCATGACACAGCTTGTTGACGTTCGACGGAAGGGGAGACCTCGGCAGTTGCGTCGGCAACACGCAGCACACGGGGGCAAAAAAGTGTATGCACACTCTGCAGGACGGTTCAGTGTCTGTTTTGAGATGAACTGCACGATCGAAAAGGAGAGTGCACATCTTCTCGAGACAGCCGGTCGTGGTGCTCTTGACTACCAAGGGCACCCTAGAAAATGCGGTACTTGAAAGTTGCGTATCTGCGCCACCGCGTTATCTATCTGTTTATCCAAATGGCGCAGCCACGTTCATCAAGGCTTGCCGCCCGATCGACCCTCGGGCCATCAAAGCATATCCGGTTTGTTATTTTGGACAAGAGCCAGGATCCCTATTCGTCGCACCACAAGCGTAGCACAGCGATGAGGATTCGCACGATTGGTGTCCCTTACCAGAAGGAGACGTGGCTATAGCCTTTATTGGTAACCAGGGATGCGGAGCAGAGAGGAGACTCACTGGTCGCACACTCGGAGTTTGTACTCGGAATTATCACGCCAAAACTCAATTTGAACCCTCTATTGAGAGCCTCAAGATATCACAATAATTACGACTGTTCGGATGTCCATTTCATTCTCATCGTTACTTTATAGACCTTCAAATTCCACGGCGTCGGAATAGACCGATCTCACTAAGCGTTGCTGAATAAGCGTTCCACGTACGCGTGACGCCACTTAGGATGCCTTTATGTGCGCTTTGCTTAAAATAGAGTGAACTATACTCTGTTTCACCTTGTGTTGTACCGCAGGAATGGCTACAACCGCGAACTCCCTGCTCTAGGGCACATCTCGGCGGCACAAGCTCTCGTGCACCAAGGGCAGTTGCCAACGCTATGAGCTCGCGCTCCTATAGCCTTCGCTGCGCGGTACAACATAAGGTGAAACGGAGTATAGGGAGTATTCACTGAACGCCATATTTGTTGGTGCTGTTTAGAGCGCATGCTCAGAACGGGCTCACATCAATAGGCTGTAAAGACCGGCACTTTTGATGGTGCGGAATGCACGTTACAAAAGAACTGTGGATGCTCGCCTTTAGCACGCGCTCAGCATTCGCGCACACATCTATGGCCGCCAGTGAATACTTCCTATAGGAGTATTCACTGGACGGCCATATCCGTGTGCGCTGCTGCTGAGCGCGTGCTGACGGCGAGCTTCCGCAGTCCTTTTGGAGCGTGCATTTAGCACCATCAAGGTTGCCGGTCTTAGCATGGCTATTAATGTGAGCTCGTTCTGAGCATGCGCTCTAAATGACGCCCTCAAATATGGCGTCCAGTGAATACCTCCACTGCCGGCGATATCTGTGTGCGTGGTTGCTGAGCGCGTGCTGACGGCGAGCTTCCACGGTTCTTTTGCAACGTGCATTCCACACCATCAAGATTGCCGGTCTTAGCAGGCTATTAATGTAAGCTCGTTCTGAGCACGCGCCCTAAACATCGCCCTCAAATATGGCGTCCAGTGAATGCCTCCTATCCTTGACGTCAGTGTCAGGGTTATCAATTGTGAACGTCGAATTCGATGGTGCGTGTTCGAATCTATGGGGATAAGTTTGATTGTGTACGATGGAAGCTTGGAGTCATCGCGTTCTTAAAACATCGCCGTCAATATCGACAACCTGACATTACTGTTATTTTCGTTGATGAAAACAGCAGAACTAATACCAGTTTGGCTAACCTTGGCAAGCCGACCACACCGACGCTTTTGGTAGCCTACGTGGCCAGTAGTCACTACTTAGAAAAAAGTCCGTAAAATTATTTGATCCCACCGATGAGGGAACAGCTGCCCGGAGGCGAAATCCGCCCGAAAACGAACAACGCTACTCGGCTGGTTCTGACCTAGCCACGTCGGGCTACACTTCAATAATATCTAAAAGGCCGCCAAAAATTAAAGGAACGGCAGGGACGTTTTTCAGTAAATTCGGCCAAAGCGGAGAGATAAAAACGATATTAGACTGTCACCTTCGGCGGTGTTGATTGTAGAATGCAATTACCCCAATCCTCCGCCGTGCTTTTTAGAGACCATCAAACATGTTGGTCGCAGCTGATAATCTTTGTCGTGACATCACACGTATGAACAACTGTCATCTCTATGCGCTGTCTAACGTGGTGCTCTTGTTCCGCGCCTATGGAGTGGTAAAGATTTTTAGCGCCTTCAATGAAAAACGTTACAAAGATAAACAAATCTGCTGGTTTTTGAGAAAAGAAAACTTCGCGGCAATCTTTCGGTTCCTCCCCCCACCATGTCATACACAAAGAATCTTTGTGTTTGACGAGTTTAGCGACCATAGTTCATAGGAGGCGGGCAAAGTAACGTTGGAGCAGAGCCTGCGTTGGAGTACCGTTGGAGGCAGGCGCCGATTCGTGAGACAGCTCGTGCCGTTTTGGTGCTCTGCTCGCGCCGACCCTCAGCGGGGTTATCGCTCGTGCAGAAAGAGTACAGTCAGTACAGTTCCCACGATTCATGGCGGCAGCGCCGACGTAGTGAAACTGGCTGTGAGATTGGTCTATTGTTCTGCCATACTTAAATAAGCACAGATCACGGCCGTCTTTCTGATCTACCAACAATGGCCACGTGCCCACGTGTGACTGAAACCGAACGACCGAAGCTAGAAGCGCGATTGCCTCATATCGAAAAGTTAATAAACTAAACATGCCCCCCCCCCCCTTTCCCATCAAAACACAGAACGCCTCTTGGATGGATTAAGACCCTTTTCAAGATGTTCCGACTCCTTGCAACCGTGTGTTATTTTGGGACACAAAGTAAAGCTGTAATAGTGGGTGCCCTTTTATAGTACAGAAGTGTCATGCAGGCGTATCCGACGACCACTTACCGTCCATCCTCCACCATCGTTGCTCATGTCGCAGAATACTCTGACAGCGCGAACACCCTGTGTGTAGACAATGTACACTCCGTCGCAGGTTGCCCCTCCAGTCCTAAGGTCTGCGCAGTTTCGGGGACTCATCACGTGCGTTGTCGTCACGCATTTTTCGCCAACAGACTGCTGTGGTGTGCCCGAGGGTGCGTCTCGCCGAGCACTGCTCACCACACTCTCTGAAGGTTTCAAGTCGGTGTCTCTAACAGCAACAGGTGGAAAACGACTGACAGTTGGGCGAGGAGCCTGTTCTGCGCTACGACACTGCCTGATATCTACCATGCTGCTTTCGACTTCCCTCATCATCTTGCTGATATCGTTCTTCATCTCGAGTTGCCCCATCTTGATCTCCATGAGGACTCGGTTAGACAGCTCGGATGTTCCGTTTTGGCCGACCATAGTTCTCCGGGGTCCCTTGGGCTGCTGTGTGCTCTCGGCTGGGCGTTCTTTTCCAGTTGGACACTGCTCTTGGATCTTCTCGATCTCCGTTAGAAGAGCGTCGTTCTGCTCTATGAGGCTGTTGGTGAGAACCTCCAAACCTTCCAACTTGCGACCCATCTGGTTCTTGAGAAGATCCAGTTGCTCGTGCATCTTTCGTTGAGTGTCATCGATGGTGTCCAGAAGGAAGGACATGGACGTGTCTCCGCCTCCGGGTGGAGAGTCCCTTCTAGACCCTGCCTCTGGGAGACCCCTTGCTGAGGCCATCGAAGACTTCATCTCCTTATTCATGTCATAGATGGTGTTGATCCCGTTCATCACCTTCTTCAACTTGCTGTCCATGTCGTCCTTCATCTTTGTCGTCTTAGTGTCGACTTCGCCCAGCTTCGCGATGCTGGTGTCCACCTTCTCGCTGACGTCGCCCTGGAGCGTGTTGAATGCAGACTCCAGGCTCCTCAACCTGCTGCTAAACTCAACCGAGCCTTGACCGCTCTCGCCACCCGAGGACAGCGTTGAGATCTTGGAAGAGACATCTTGGAGCTGCTTCTCTACTTTTTCCAGGGACATCTGGAAATGGACAGTCTGCGTGGTCCTCAGGTTGTTCTCGACTTGAAGCTGGTCCTTCACATCGGTGATCAGTTTCTCGACTTCGTCGAGCCGAGTGTAGAGCCTGTGCTGGCCATTGCACAGCGCCAGCAGGGCCACTGTGACGAGCAAACGCATCCAGATGAGTTCTGCCATGTCCGTGCCTCCAATCTTACTGGGGAAACGAGAGCACCTTCGACCAGGTTTTATCTTGTCAGGCACTCGAGACGAATGCGCAAGAAGGAGAGGAAGGCCAAGACGTTGAACTGTCCACAAGAACCGATAAACGACGCGATGACAAATCTGGAGGAGCCCCCGGTGACGAAGAGTGGCGTATACCCTCGGAGCGGGGGCAGACTTGGCCAAGACGGTCTTTCCGGTCCACGCAACAGATAAGCAAGAACTGAGCGGCTTCGTCGGCGAAGAAATCAACGTGTTTACAGCGGTCCCTCGTGAGCTTCTGGCTGCTGAGGCGTTCTGAGAAGAGAGGGGGGCCGGCGCGGGCTCAATTGCCCAAAGTGAAGACGAGCGCACACCCTCGCGTCCGCGTCTCCTAAGGGGAGCGACAGCCGAGGGTCGGGTGACACTTTGGGCCTTCCTCGAAGCTGTGCCAAAAAAAAAAAAAAAAAAATATGACGCAGCAACGGTTTTTGAGCCTTCAGTGCGCCGATGGCGGGGTTCCAACGGCAGCCCGCATGTAAAACGAAACATAACCACCGCAAATCAAAAATAAGACAAAAAAAAAAAAAAGGGTTGGGGGGGGGGGGGGGGCGGGAACTTCTTTAATTCAAGCATGCAACATTCTAAGAATGGAGTGACAACGTTTCTGGGTGTGGGGTCGGAAAGTACGTCTTTATATCGGTCGCCATGCTTCCGAAAACTTGACTACGCAAGCGACCCCCCCCCCCCCCCCCCCCCCCCCGCCCCCCGGGGTCCTTAAAAAAAAAATTAAAAAAAAGGACTAGCTTGAATGTTTTTTTGTATATCCGTGTATATGCCATGCCACATGTGAGTGATATGAGGAGGAGGCAAGGGGTACGTTCGCCGTTTATCATGCTGTAATGTCTTGGTTTCCCCCCAAATTATAATTATATGGTGAATATTTAGTGAAGGGGATCATGCCGTCTTTTTTTATCCTTACATTTGAATAACATGGCGTCGCAGAGCAATGTTTGGGATATTTATTTTTCTTTCACTATTTAAATTCTCAACAGTAACACAAATATTTAAAAAAAAACATGAACAAGTATACTTTTTTAAACTTTTATCTGCCGTATTTTAAACAGTTGAACGCGATCACCTGCAAAACTACGTTTAGAACCCTTTGAAATCCGGCGTTTAAACAGCGATATTTTTAGTTCGTTTACCCATGAATGTTGATATCTGTAAAGAACATTTTCTTGCGGAAACCATCGAAGCAGCTGGAATAACTAGACTCATAGTGTTTCTATTGGTGCTTCCACTGTTGCAGGATTCAAAAAAAACTTGATAAGTATGTTATCTTTTGTGTAGTTCTTTTGTTCTTTTTTTTTTTTTTTAATACTGCACGTTAAAGAAGGTCATTGCAGGAGTGGAAAAAAATACATACATAGCGCGCCAATACAACAGAGTTGATTTTGCGTGTGTGTGCACGTGCGTGCGCGGTGTGGGCTGTACGTGTGTCTTAAAAAGAATGTTTTTTTTTTACATTTAATTGGGACACGCGTGTCAAAATATAAATTTTACGTGAAAAAAAAAAAAAATAGATGCAATATTGACGGCACGAGACGCGTGGCAGTGATCACCTCCTTTCCGCTTGTTTTCTCTCTAGGCTTTTCGGGCGCGTGGAGGAGAGGTGGAGCGGCTTCCCCTTCGTGACCGAGATGGTCATTCCGGAATGACCAGTGACGTCATAGACTTCGCGCGCAGAATTTCAAATAAATCTCTAAAATATATTTTTTTGCTTAAAATTTATTTTTTGACACCCGTGTCCCAACAAGACTGTTTTAATTTTTTTTTTTTTTCAGGGGTCCTTTAAGTTTTATTTCAAATTTAGTGAAATGATGTTATTCAGGTGTTTTCCTTTAGCATAACGTTTTGTGCCGAGTCTGGAAAAACATCAGTGCATTCCATATACGTTAAATAAAGCAGATACTATCTATGAGCTTTTACAATAGGTAGTTTTAGAATAGGAGGTCCCAAGTCCAGTGCATCGGGACCCCCGAGGAGCTTGGCCGGCATCGCACTGCAAATGCGTGGAACTTGTGCGCCTGCGCAATGCGACGCCCCAAGCTCCCCGGGGGGACGCAAAAGCATCGCGGTCAACTATACTCTGAAGCTCCCCGCTATGTTTCACTGATAATAATTTCAACTAATATTATAAGTTAGTGCTGCCATTTCAACGCAGCAAACATTATAAATACGAGGAGAAACAAACATTTAAATGGTTTGTATAGGTGTTGTGTTTATCATTTAGCACCATGTGTTGGTCGTTTTACACCTCCGGCAAAGTCAAGTGACACCAACCGGTTTAACCCAGCGACCTAGGACAAATGAGCTATAGTGTATGTAAACAGGTAACTTCAATTACACAACATGCAATCGGAAATAATTGCATTGGACTGGATTGGAGGAACGTTTATGGGCTCCAAATTTGATATTGAATCTTGCAACACACGTGCGCCTATTTCCTTTTAAATTAAGCAATTGTTACTGCTGTTGATGAGCTAGCAGATTATTGCTTTGGTTTGTTTTGTTTCTTGTTGTTAAGTACTTTGTATTAAATAAATTCTTTTGTATGATTTCGCTTACACGCACACGCTCTTTTCCTCAACCCTCAGCATACTTGTATGGTGAGTAAAGCTATTATTATTGATGCCCTGAGCAAGCGGTCGCGCCGCGACGTGGCTCGAAAGGATTTTCTCTGGCAGGCGGGCGTCACGTTCGGTCAGCTTGAGGTGTGTATATATATATATATATATATATATATATATATATATATATATATATATATATATATATATATATATATATATATATATATATATATATATATATATATATATATATATATATAATATATATATATATATATATATATATATATATATATATATACCCAAGCTGACCGAACGTGACGGTCAGCCGAAAATCGGTCAGCTTGAGGTATATATACCGGGTGTTTGTGCGAAGACTTTCAAAAATCCTAAAACTTAAAGCGTAAAAAAAAAAGAAAAAACTTTCTTCGGGAACAAACTACCAGCCACGGCGGACGTCAGGAATTGCCAAAAACATAGTAATTAGCCAAATAATTAATTAAAATTTGTTAATTAACTTTTTAATTAGTGGAAATAGACATATGGTTCTAATTAGAAAGTTGCTGAGCGTTATCTAAAACCACTAAATCAGTCACTTTCAAAAAGAATTTCGGCGCGTGAGAAGCGTAGTAGTGCACTAAAGTTACCGCTCTTTGAGCAGGTACAAGGCTGGGGCTAGATAAGAGACGGAAAAATCGCGCGGGCGCCTTATCGCAACCGCTAGCTTTGTACCTGCTCAAAGAGCGGTAACTTTAGTGCACTACTACGCTTCTCACGCGCCGAAATTCTTTTTGAAAGTGACTGATTTAGTGGTTTTAGATAACGCTCAGCAACTTTCTAATTAGAACCATATGTCTATTTCCACTAATTAAAAAGTTAATTAACAAATTTTAATTAATTATTTGGCTAATTACTATGTTTTTGGCAATTCCTGACGTCCGCCGTGGCTGGTAGTTTGTTCCCGAAGAAAGTTTTTTCTTTTTTTTTTACGCTTTAAGTTTTAGGATTTTTGAAAGTCTTCGCACAAACACCCGGTATATTCACCGATGTTTGTTTGCAAACAAGCTCACTACCACCCCCTATCGGCGGACCCCTGCGCGCTTCCGGTTTTCCTCTTCTTTTCCATTTGTCTCTCCTTCTTTTGTTACTTGCACTACTTTGTACAATTCACTAATGTTCTTACAAACACACTACAGAAACTTCTCTGAAGGAAACTCTTCTTACCCGACCGCTGTGCGTTGCTGAAGAATAAATAAATACACTACCGGAAGTTTACTGGGGCACCAAATACTGTGGCGCCCTCGCGGTATCAACTCCCACCGAATGTGGTGAATATATACCGGGTGTTTCTGCGAAGACTTTCAAAAATCCTAAAAATTAGGGCGTTTGAAAAAAGAAGAAACTGTCTTCGGGAACAAACTAAAAGACACGGCGGACGTCAGGGATTGCCAAAAAACATACTAATTAGCCAGCTAATTAATTAAAATTTGTTAATTAACTTTTTAATTAGGGGAAATAGACATATGGTTCCAATTAGAAAGTTGCTGAGCGTTATTGAAAACCACTAAATCACTCGTTTTCAGAAAGACTTTGAGCGCGTGAGAAGCGTAGTAGCGCACTAAAGTTACCGCTCTTTGAGCAGGTACAAAGCTAACGGTTGCGATAAGGCGCCCGCGCGATTTTTCCGTCTCTTATCTAGCCCCAAGCTTGTACCTGCTCCACGAGTGGTAACTTTAGTACAATACTACGCTTCTCACGCGCCGAAAGTCTTTTTGAAAATGACTGATTTAGTGGTTTTCAATAACGCTCAGCAACTTTCTAATTGGAACCATATGTCTATTTCCACTAATTAAAAAGTTAATTAACAAATTTTAATTAATTAGCTGGCTAATTACTATGTTTTTGGCAATTCCTGACGTCCGCCGTGGCTGGTAGTTTGTTCCCGAAGAAAGTTTTTTCTTTTTTTTTACGCTTTAAGTTTTAGGATTTTTGAAAGTCTTCGCACAAACACCCGGTATATATATACCGGGTGTTTCTGCGAAGACTTTCAAAAATCCTAAAAATTAGGGCGTTTGAAAAAAGAAGAAACTGTCTTCGGGAACAAACTAAAAGACACGGCGGACGTCAGGGATTGCCAAAAAACATACTAATTAGCCAGCTAATTAATTAAAATTTGTTAATTAACTTTTTAATTAGGGGAAATAGACATATGGTTCCAATTAGAAAGTTGCTGAGCGTTATTGAAAACCACTAAATCACTCGTTTTCAGAAAGACTTTGAGCGCGTGAGAAGCGTAGTAGCGCACTAAAGTTACCGCTCTTTGAGCAGGTACAAAGCTAACGGTTGCGATAAGGCGCCCGCGCGATTTTTCCGTCTCTTATCTAGCCCCAAGCTTGTACCTGCTCCACGAGTGGTAACTTTAGTACAATACTACGCTTCTCACGCGCCGAAAGTCTTTTTGAAAATGACTGATTTAGTGGTTTTCAATAACGCTCAGCAACTTTCTAATTGGAACCATATGTCTATTTCCACTAATTAAAAAGTTAATTAACAAATTTTAATTAATTAGCTGGCTAATTACTATGTTTTTGGCAATTCCTGACGTCCGCCGTGGCTGGTAGCTTGTTCCCGAAGAAAGTTTTTTTTTTTTTGACGCTTTAATTTTTAGGATTTTTGAAAGTCT